ATAAATATCGACTTTACGCCGTTAAAAAAAAATTCCATTCTGTCGTCTATAAATATTCAAATGATTCTCTTTTCAATATGAAAATGTGGGTTGCAAAAAAACAAAGAAGAATAATATAAATAACTGTGAATTTGAAAGCAACGGATAGATGAAGTTTTTTTTCTGGGGTAAAGGTCACGACGAGAGGGATTTTTCATCCGGAAAATGCCATGAGCGAATGGTGTAATCCCATCGAGATATTATTTCAACGTTGCGTGTTGCAGGTAGTTTTACCCCATCATCCCCTGATTCACAGAGCCTCCAGGGTGTTGATTATTCACTCTACCTGACGAATGTTCTCGAGAAGAGAAGAAAAGAGAGGACTGAGAAAAGGACGATCGAAATTTCAAAGATTTCGCTCTAAGTCCCATACACTGAAAAAAATATTTTCTTCTGCCAAGAATATTTTCTTGGCAGAAGAAAATATTCACCAGTCAATCTGGCAATCACTGTGTAAATACTCCCATAATATTTACTAATGCCAAATATATATTCTTGTGGTTAGTAAATATTATTGGCTCAAGAAATTTTTTTTAGGAATCGAGATATTTTCATTTTTCTGTACGGTTGTAAATAGTTTTTTTTTTTCATTTAATTTTTTGGGTGGGGTGAAAATACATTTTTTATTTTTTCAATTTTTTTCTTTTTCACCCATACTTCATCTTTAACAATTTATTTATAGAATTTAATCTCTACAGAATTGCAGAATTTATCTTTTGCAACCCCGAACTTCATTATTTCCTTCTCTCCACCCCTCATAAAAAAATAAAACACCACCACTCGCCACGATAATTCCACGATTAATTAACAGCTTCTGAATTTTCCAATAGGAAAATATTAAAATCAAACCCAGCAGCAGCTCTACCACTCGTTTTTCTTTTTCCGTTTTATAAGCACTGAGCTTTCATTGATTTACTGCAAAGCATAACATCGGGCATTAAAATTTTACGATATTTATTTAGCGAAATGGGGAAAGTACAGAGATGAGGGGTGATGGGGTGGATGAGGGGTGGATGAGGGGTGGATGTTGGGTGGATATGGGGTGGAAATGGGGTGGGAATGTTGGAAGGCCTTCGGGTGTTTCGTTCAACTCTCGGTTCTTAAGATTTAAGAGCTGTCAACGTCCACCCATAGTCGTTAGTCAAGGGCCTTCGTAGCTCTGGAAAGTCGGGGATAGAACGAGACGAAGGAAAATATATAGCAAGTATGGAAAGAATTAAGGGTGAAACAATAACCCGAGTTGCTTTATACTGCGACAACGGTCAACCTATTTCCCCTATTTTTTTTTATCCACCCTCTGCCCCATCCCTCCTATTCCCTTGTTTCTTATATTTTCCTCCGCTTGTACTTGGGATTTATCTTTTTGTTTTTTGGCGGGGCTTTTATTTTCCGATGGCGAGTGCTCACAACTCGGGTTATTCTCATGAGTAATTGGAACAGTAATGAGAGATGGATGTTACGGAAATGTTGCAGTGCTGTAATAATAATTCTTTGTTGTTATTGCCAGTCGCTAATTTTGCAATTTTTATTGAGAAATTTTAGTGGGGAATTGGGGAGGAAATTTAGGGGATGGGGAGATCGATCGTTTTTAGATTTCTAGAACGTAATGAAAGCCTGGATAAAAAAAAATGTAATTGGAATTTTTTTTTCAAATTTTCCAAAAATTTCAGGAAAACTTTTCAGAAAATTTTTTTTATGAAACAAAAAAAATCGGAAAAAAACAATTTTATTTTTCGGAAAGGTTTTGAAAAATTTTTCAAAAATTTGAATAGGACATTTATAATTTAGATGGCGTTTTTTTTGAGAATATTGAAAGATAAAAAAATAAGAAAACAACAGTATAATTAAAAGAAAAAATTATAAAAAATTTTTCAAAACATTTCTCAAAATATTCCGATTACAATTTTTTTTACCCGGGAGGGAAAACTCCAAAAAAACAATTTTCCGAGGTATCCGCTGAAAATGTCGTGGAAAATCTAATTGAAAAATTGAAAATAAATATTAATTCCGGGAAAAATCGAAGAATTTTCCGCAATTTCCCATGAAAATTTTGTGGAAAACCAAAAAAAATGGATATTAATTGCCACACCGGATGGAAAATTTTTGAATAATTTTCATGTGAAACGATGGTCACCCATCATACGACTAAATTAAATAATCCGAAGTACGAGAAAGCGCGAGAGACGAAGGGCTTTAATTTTCCGGAAAATAACATGGTTGGTGATCCATGGTTTATCGTGAGAGTGAAGACCCCGATGGGTAGGCGAGGGAGGGTTTTTCCAGGGAATGGGTGGGTGGTACGAGGATGAGGAGAGAGGGGGTTGGTAAAGGGGTTGATGCAGAGGGGGTTTAAAGAGCATTCGGTGCGGACGAGACTCGATACTCTTCCATACCCCCATGGGTACGTGAGTGAGGGCAAACTATATACACACAGACGTACAAAGACGTACAGAGACAAGGGGGTGGTTGGGTGGTGGGTGGAGATGGGAGTTAAGTGCCTGGAAGCGGCAACGTGTCCACCGGACCGGAGAAGAGCTTTGGCCCCATGGTCCCAGTGTAAAAGGCAGCCGTTAGTTTGCAATTCGCATAAAGGAGATTCTCACAAGGCCCTTTTACACCCCCTAACCACCCCCTGCCCCATCCTCAATGGTTCACTTCACTTCTATAATGCGATTCGTGCCATTTGGATTGTTTATATGGTTTGTCCGTGTGCTTCAGCGTTTAATTAGTCTCACTGGGGGTTGGCTTAACTCAAGAAGGTAGAATAGATTTGGGGTTAAAAGAGATGGGGGTTGGAGGGTGCGAGGGGGGTGGTAGTCTGTTGGAGTTTAAAGTCATTGATTGGGGATTGGGGATGAGACCTACCGGATGTTCCGACGCTTTGGGGATTGATCTCTCGGGGTTGATACAGATTAATTGCGTTCTCATCCTCTGGCAATTATTATTAATATTTAAACTAACATTCGCGACGTGTATGTAATAATTAAATGAGGGCACAAGCGTGATAAGGGATTTTATAAATAAAATGGAATTTTATTTTTAATTATAAATCGCTCAACTTTTAATTTCATTCTTACTTCAATTTTTTCATTAACAAATTTATAACATAAAGGATAAATAAAATATAAAATAATAATGGATTGGGTTCTGTAGATAATCAAATGACATTAATTGAATTCTCTGTGTTATTAAACATTATTAACAAAATAATTATATATATTTATTCTTATAATTGGAGAAAAAATGCTGGAGGTAAGAATGAAATTTTAATTGTTTCGTTAATCAAACAAAATTGTTCCGATTGTTGACATTCATTTCGATAATTTCAATGGGACTAATTTAAAAAGTGCAAGTGATGCCAAAGCTCGTTACGCTGTCGACTAATTGAACCCGCTTGACTGTAATAAATCGTTGAAAATGAGTTTTCTCCGTGGGCTTTTGAGATATATAATCGGGCAGTGGTGTGAGGTGGTAATACAATGGGTGAATTCTAGAGGTTGAAGATAACTAGTTACCTTGGATACATAACGGGAGGAAAAGGCAACTCTAATTATTTCCAAAATCATAAAATATTTGAGTAAAATCGAGTGAGAATCGACGCTGCATCTGGTGTTATTATTTTTATTGTTCCACTTGACAGCGATTTTGTTTAATTAACAACGAGTTGACTGGAATGGTTGTAAATAATGGGAGGGGTGGTGGGGGGTTATTAAAAAATAAATTGCCTCGTGAAGAGGTGGGTCTGACTCAGCGGGTACCTGTTTTACTGGGGGGAAAGTAGTGAAACTACAGGACTGGTCAGCCCCTCTGTGGCTTTTTACTCATGATTTTTTTCTTTCTTTTTTTTTCTTCTTGTTTTTTTTTTTTTATTTCGTTGCGGATGGTACGCCGTGGGAAGTGCATGCGTTATGGGCATTTTATGATTTTTATACCGCTGAGAGAAAAAAAAATATCGTTTTATTATCCGTTTTTTTCTCGTTCACCTTGTTATAACGGACTCATGAAAATGCATGAGAGAGAGAACAATTCGTGTACAAAGATATCTTGTGTGACATCAACGTTGGGGGGTGGGTGGGGGGTGGAATTGAGTATTGGATTTTAAAACGAATGAAAACTCTCTCGAACCTCCGAGACGCAAAATTAAGACATAAAATTGTGATAAAATTTATCCAAAAATACCAGAGCGTCGGTTCCTCGAGGACTTCCTCGAGATCTCAGGAAAATCGCTAAATTTTCCCTAGAATATCTATAAAATATGTATGAACAATATAAATATATGAATAAATTTATATTTTTCGTCATGTGGGTACTGATTTTCTTTACTATTTCTGTTCTCGTAAAAAATCATGAATTATTAGCTAGGGATTTGTTGAGAATTATTTGTTAACATCAGTTGATTGTTAGTATCACATGATGACGATGATGATTTGAGAACTTCTCAAATAAATTAGCCATTTGGAATAGAAAAAAAATAACTGAACTCTCGTAAAAATATAATTTATCCGACAGACAAAGTAAATACTTGCACAATAAATACAACATTTCTTAAATAAATCGCCTCCGTCCTCTTAATTACAATCTCGAATCTCTTAAAAAACAAGTGGCCCGCCTTTTGCAATTAAAAGGCTAAATTGGTACAACGTGGGCACTTACGGCTCGCCAAGTTTCAAAGAAAACGAAATAAGAAAAAAATAAAGTACACGGACCGGTTATCTATACTCTCGTAAAGTAACGAGTCCACTCTCTCGACCGCGTGATCCTCCCGAGTGAAAAGGGGAAAAGGGGTGAGGGGGTGAAGGGGGGTGGGTGGGCAGGAGGAAAGGGAGAAAAACCAAAAACAGAGACTCTTTATTACCGAAGACGTATCGGTGTCTCGCTTGTGGTTCAAGTGCACACGGGATTTTCTTCTTTTTTTTTTCTCTCTTTTTTTTGGGGAGGGGGGGGGAAGGGGCGAGCTTTCGAAGTGAATAAAAGAGGAGAGGTAGTGACGTAGCGGACTGGAAGGGGCCATTTCCACTTGAATTTCACCACTAGGTTTTCAACGACGGTCCCCAGCTCTTCGATGGACGGAATAAACTGCAGTCTCTCTGGGAACAAATAGCAAACCAATTGCATGATCTCTCGACATGAGACAAGACTTGACTTTTTTTTTTTCTAATATATTAAACTTGTTTAACAAAATTTATAATGTCCCCGGGTTAAAAAAAATTGTAATCGAAATGTGTTTTCCAAATTTCGGGAAAATTTTTCAAAAATTTATGTGTATATTATTTGAGAATATTGAAAAATAAAAAAAGTAAGAAGACAACAGTATAATTTAAAAAAAAATTTTATTCGCAAAAATTTCTAAAAAATTTTTTTAAAAATTTCCGAAACAAATTAAAAAAAAAATTTCAAAACATTTCCCAGAAATACAATTATTTTGCTTCCCGATTTTTTTTGTTTAAAAATAAAAATTCGGGAAAGTTTTCCAAAAATTTTTTGGAAATTTGGAAAAAATATTCCGGTGACTATTTTTTTTACTCGGGTTCCTAAATCTTCTAATAATAAATATGAAAATTAATACAATTTAATAAATTCGTCATTGATAAAAATAATTCGGTAATTTTCTCTATCTAATAATTTTGCAAGGCAAAAAAAATCAAGGGGATGTAATAATAAATTTTTGAATTCTCGGAATGAAAATCATGAAAATGAATGCAATTTTTTGATTAAAACAATCCGGACAAATTGTGGAAAATTTCACTAAAAACGGTAAAAGCGAGTTTCAATCACGAAAACAAGATGGAATAATAGGCACATGATATCCCGATAAAATCGAACGGAACCTGATTGATCGCCCCCCGAAACGGCTGTCACAATATTCGGCAATTTTTCTCTTTAATGAAGCAAACGACAACAATATTCCGTGAGCTTTTGCCTCTCAATATATCTCGACTCTTGAACGTCGAAAAAATGCTCAGGATCGTAAATCAAGTTGACACTGGTATTATTGGTGCACGTACGAGAGGAAAATGTTGGGACAATGGCCGAGGGGATGTGTGCGGAGTAAACTCCGGGTGTAATTTAGCTTTTGGAAAAATTGGCCGATTTTCTTGTGCGCAAAGTGAAAATTTGTTCCTCAATGTATTGATTCGCTGTCAGATGTTGAGGCTTTTCATAAAAACTCACCGGTCCTTTCCAGAGGCTGTGGATAAAAAATAGGGGAAGAGGTGCCAGTGTTGATAGGCCAATCAGAATTCCGATGGTATTTGCCCATGACGGGAAAATGTACTCTCCGTACGTCGGCGATGTGTACGTTATCATCTGATAAGTGAAGACTCCCTGAAAATATTTCACGAATTTTTCAATTTTCAATGCATTAAGAAATAAATTATACGAGGATTGTAATAACCTGGGTAAAAAAAATTTAATCGCAATATTTTTCCCAAATTTTCAAAACATTTATGGAAAACTTTTCCAAAAATTTTTCTTTTGAAAAAAAAAATTGGAAATAAAACAATTTTATTTTTGGGAGATGTTTTGAAATTTTTTAAAAATAATTTTCTAGAAATTTTCACGAATGTAATTTTTTCTTTTAATTATATTTTTGATTTTTCAATATTCTCAAAAAATACGCAATCTATATTATAAAAAAAATTTCCTATTTAAATTTTTGAAAAATTTTTCAAAACCTCTCCCAAAAATAAAATGGTTCTGCTTTCCGATTTTTTTATTCATAAAAAAAAATTTTTGAAAAATTTTCCCGAAATTTTTTGAAAATTCAGAAAAAATATTTCGATTACAATTTTTTTTTACATGGCAATTACGCAAATATTGACGTTTCTTATAGTCAAAATGTAATTTTTACTCCGCTCTTTGCATCTTTTATTGCAACATTAGGGGGAATTTTACTACAAAGTTCTTCTCTGCGTTGTAAAAAGTCCAGAAAAATTCAGGGGCCAAACGACATTTTTGCTCGGGCCAATAAAAAATTATGGAACGACTCCCATAAAAATCCTTCAAAATAAGACTGAATTTTCTCCTGTAATTTGTATTTATTCCATAAAAATCCAACCGACTCATGAAAATTAGTAAAAATCTCGTAACAAAAAAAATGAAAAAAAAATGAATTAGCTGCCCAATTCGTGACTTCGATAATTTATCATTTTTCCATCAGCATCAATCATTTCAAGACCCGAAAGATCCCAAATATCGGCTTTCACGAAATCTAAAATAAACAATTCCAATAATTTTCTCACAAAAAAATATTTGATTGATGAGTACAGCCTCACGAGTACCCCATTCCACCCAAAAGATCATAATCAGATCGTTGACAAATATTATTTATCCGAAACTAAAAGAGACTAATGACTCGTTATCAAAACAGATCTATAAATTTCCATTCTCCATTTTTATAATACTAAAATTAGGGGAATTATAAACCGCTTCTCGACTGAGTGCCAAGAAATTAATGAATCGGTATACCCTGGTGAGGAAAAAAAAATCCTAAATACGCAGATCTCGTGAGGAAAAAATAGACTCGACTCAATTCGCACAACTCACTTCAGCACGAAACTGAAAACCCTCGTCATTACTCCCATTAAATCGTTTTTATCGCGTCCCACGCCACAAATGCCCATGTATATTTTCGCTTTAAAAATAAGTATGAAAAAACGGATGAAGCAAAAAAAAAAAAAAGCCCAAGCCACACCAGGTGCTTTATGATACTGGCGAGCACTGAGGGCTCGTACTCGTTAACGAGGGATTAAAGTACCTCCAGTTTTTCGGTAGGGCCTTGGCATATTGAAAGACTTTCATTTCATCTCTCATTTGCACGACATATCCGCTTGTTTTTTATATATTTTTTTAAATTTACTTTGCATTCATTTCTTTCAACTCTGGCTCTATTTCTCTCTCCCTCTTGATCCCTCCATAGGTATTAGATAAAACCAATTGCATTATATTGTTGGGATAAAAAATTGTTGTTTATTTTTCCCATTCACTTTGTGGTTTTTTAATTTAATACGCGCTTCAATGGCTTGTCGAAACCGAACGAATAGAAGAATTAATCATTTTTTCGTTTGACTGATTTTTATCCCTGGGTCTGAGTGAATGGATTTTACCCGAGGTGAATTATCGACTGAAAACTCATTAAAAATATTGAATTGAATTGAGGAGTCGTTCATTGGAATTACATTGTTAATTTCTGACAATTCAATTCAACAGATTGAAAATTCCGGGAAATTATTAATTATCTAATAATAGAATAATTCATGAGTAGCACTCTTAAATATTAATAAACAAAACATTACAAAAATATAATCGACATTTTCTGGGAATAATTACATCGCTGGGATGTGGGGGAATTTGATAATAATTATTATTATTTTATTAATATTTGAAGGTGCAACCGATTGATCGAAAATAATTGTTGAAAATTCCAAATGTTTTTCCCAGAAGTTTCTAATTTTTGAACATCGATGAATATTTTTGAAATCTTATCAGAGGTGAGCATTCCCACATCATCAATTTCCCATTCCATAATCAACTGACACCCGCAATTACTCCTTTCCCCTCATCCCCAAGACCTGACCAATTGCCTACAACAGCGATTTGCCCATTGACAAAGGGGATAGCGTGTAAATTTGGTACATTGTCACCGGTGCAAATGTAAACAGGAGACGAGTAAACCCAGTGTAGCTGCAATATAAACCAATAGCTGTTAGTTTGGTGACTAAACCCTAGGAAGATGGAAATGAGACAGACGTTTACGACAAACCAATGGGTGTTAGCGTGATTGGAAAATAGCATTGGTCCATGTTTTGGGTGAACTTACAAGTGTTGTAATTGGTGCAAGTACAGTCCAGCTGAGCCACCAGTATCGATTTAAAATTTTTCCAAATTTCATATTCATCTCGCCTAGATTACCCAGAAATTTATCACAACCATATATCCAGGCTGGAACTATAACTTCGGCAAATCCAATCAGCAGTATCGCCCAAGATGCTGTGTTCCAGTCCATCAGGGTGTACATGTATATTCCACCATCAAAGATCATCGGCAGTGCTAAAAGCCATCCACAGACGCATATAAACAGGATCAGTAGACTCTCGTGCTTACGGAGGCTTGGACGTACGTCCAGTATTGCTGTGTTTATCGCCTGAACTCCTGCAAACTGTGATTGGATATTGACAAACTAGTAGTTTGGGGTGAGCACGTGATTAGAGGTATATCAATTCGAAAAATTACTGTCTGTTACACGGCCCTTCTCTCCTTCTGACGCGGAGATAAATATTCTCGATTATGGGAGTGATTTTAAAAATTCAGATCACCATTGGAGTCATAGTAAAAAATTCGGGAATTGTTACGGAAAATTTTGGATTGAAAATTTTTGTTCTGGGGGTAGTTTTTCTTTTTTTTTATTTGTTATTGAAAATTTGACGGTAATTGATGAAAAATGTAAGAGGAATTTTTCTTCTCATGGTAGTTTCGGTATTGAATTTTTATTAAATAAATTCAATTGATTATTTTCTAGAGGTTCACGTGAAAATAATAGAAATAAAATTTAAAAACCAAAAATACCGGATTTCTTTGAATTTTCAAAATCCCATATCATGAAATTTGAGAATTAATTTCACGTGGAGTGATTTTCCGGGATAAAAAAATTGTAATCGGAATATTTTTTCCAATTTTTTTTTTATAATTTAGAGGGCGTATCTTTTGAGAATATTAAAAAATAAAAAAAGTAAAAAAACAAAAGTATAATCAACAGAAAAAATTATATTCTCAAAAATTTCTAGAAAATGATAAAAAAAATTATCCGAACAAAATTTTGGAAAAATTCTTCAAAATATTTCCCAAAAATAAAATTGTCGTTTCCTGATGTTTTTTTTTGTTAAAAAAAAAACATTTTCTGAAAAGTTTTCCAGAAATGTTTTGAAAACTTGAAAAAAATATTTTTTTTACCCGGGTTCCAATAATTTCGGTTGATCCATAGATTTAATCAGTAGATGTAACGACCCCTCGTAATCTAATTCCCAAACCCAAACGATAAATTCACCAATGAAACCCCGGAAATAGCCTATGAAACATTAATTACCGTCTGACGCATTATGACGCGTGTGAGTATCACTTGCGTATTAATTTCCAACGTGACACGTGCACGAAAAATAGAGAAAAAAAAAAAAACAATATTACTCTACCCCCGGGACACCACTCACGTTTTCACTCGACACTTTTTTCCCCATCTCCTCTGTCTCTCCCCTCTATCTCACTCTTATCATTTTATTTTCTCACTTTTTTCCACTCCCCTGTTTTCTCCCTTTTTTTATTCATTCTGCTCTGTTTCGTGCGGGACACTGTAAAAGGTGGGGGGTATTGAAACAACGGCACATGCATTACGCCTGTACCGAGAGTCAGACTTCCCCTCCCCCAGAACCACTAACAAATAATTATTGCAAAAATCTTTCGCATGACTTGCAGTCTGAACCTCTCACATTTCAATTCGGACTCTCCACTCTATAAAAAAAAATCCACTTTTCTCCGTACATTCCGGGTAAATTGTTCAATTAAAAATTCCATCGTTATCCATAATTATTTATTTTTACTGATTTTTTGTGATGGAAATTAAATTTTGCTGATCTGAATTTTTCATGCGATTAATTTCGCGTAAATTTTCCATTGCGCATAAATTATTCCCAACAAAATTTGTTTCGTATAGGAATTAAAAACAATAAATTAATAAAACCGTGAAAATGAAATTGAATTCAATGAAATGAAAAAAGGAAAGATGGAAATTTGGATTTATTTTCGAGTATTTACCTGGCTTCCAATTCCTAGGATAAAAAGCATAAAGAAGAAGAGAAATGCCCAAAGATTGGGCCAGGGCATTCTGACAACAGCCTCTGGATAAGCGATAAAAGCGAGTCCAGGACCACTTTTGACGACTTCCTCGATGGGGATGTTCATCTGCTTGGCCAAGTACCCCATGATCGAGAAAATAACGAATCCCGCGAATACCGAGGTGAATACATTGGTGAGCGATACGAATATGGCATCCCTGAAAGCAAAAATAGATGCAAAAAAATCAGGAATAATAGAGAGAAATAATAGGAGGCTGTGGGGACTCGAGAAAAAAAAAATGAGAAGAAAGGGATTGGTTGGGAGTATAAGGAGAAATGAATGGCACAGGGACGAGAAAGGATAAAAACGAGATATGGATCGTGGTTTATTCCGTCTGGGGTATTCGGGTGAGGATTCCGTGAGGCTGTCTCACCCTGGAATACCTCAGCAAGGTCCTCTGGCTCTTCCTCAAAAACCCCCGAGGTTGCAAGATTACGCGGATCCCTTTTGTTCGCGGCCTCCTCGAATTACTTCGCATTCGAGTGCCAAACCACTAACAGAATCCTCAAACTTGCATTGTACAAGCCTAGTTCTCGTCCAGATGGTTCTTTTCCTCCATTGAGGGTATAATTCTCGAATTGAGGGAGGGAGATTTAAACTGCTAACGCTCCAAATGAATTTTTCATTTCTCTAGAAGCTTTTACACCTGTTTTACAGTTATTCGTGGACAATAATTTTAGGGGAATCCTCGGGGTAATCTGGGCAGAAAAAATTGTAATTGGAATATTTTTTTTTTCATTTTCAAAAAAATCGGAAAGAAATCGGAAAGCAAAACAATTTTTTTTTTGGGAAAGGTTTTGAAAAATTTTTCAAAAATTTGAATAGAAATTTTTTTTTTATCATTTAGGTGGCGTATTTTTTGAGAATATTGAAAAATAAAAAAAAGTAAGAATACAACAGTATTATTAAAAGAAAAAATTATATTCGCAAAAATTTCTAAAAAATTATTTTAAAAAATTTGCGAAATAAATTTTTGAAAAATTTTTCAAAACATTTTCCAAAAATATAATTATTTTATTTCCCTTTTTTTTGTTTCAGAAGAAAAATTTCTGAAAAGTTTTCCAGAAATTTTGTGAATATTTGGAAAAAATATTCCGATTACAATTTTTTTTACCCGGGAAAACAAGGAATTCAAAATAATGGGGGATGATTGAAATTTGACCCTTCGGGGGATCGAATGAAGGGATTTAAATAAATCTCGTGTATTTAAAAAATTTCCAATATCAGGATTGGTAGAGCAAAATATTGAAAATGTCCCTTTGAAAATTATTGACTGCACCCACCCCACTCAAATGACTGTGGAAGCTATAAATTGACGTACATCAATTCCACTCGCGTTAATTAATGGGGTAAATACCAGAGGACAAATCGATGAGTTAGGAGAGGGAGAGGGAGTGGTGTTTTGATATGTCGAAGAGCCCTTTGATATCACTCCGCAAATTTACGGGGAATTATAACATCACGACTAATGAATTTTATTTTTTAAATATGGAAATATTTTGGGAATAATTTCGTAGCTCATATTTCACAGAATAAAAAAATCGAGACTTAAAGCTTTCCTCTGTCCCCTTTTTTAAACTGTTCAATCGTTTTGTTAAATAAAGATATTTCTGTTCGGTGTTGATTCGGGGGAAGGATGGGCAGGCGAGTGGAAAAGAGAATTCCACAGATTGAATTGAATCGCTGGATCAGTGGAAATCTACAATACTTGAATTTTCATGCGTGCTGACGAGCTGCGCAATTTTCCCACTTGTTTTCACTGGCCTCGTTATGGTCAACGAGCTTTTTCAATACGCATCGGTATTTTTATCGTGCAACGTTCATTCGTTTATCTTTACGACCATAAATTGCCAAAATGACAATTATTATCACCCAGAGTCACAATTTTTTCGTTAATGTCTAGCGAATTTTCCCCACTAGGTACCCGAGTAAAAAAAAATTGGAATTCGAAAAAATTCGGGAAAACTTTTCAGAAAATTTTTCTTTTCAAAAAAAAAATCGGGAAATAAAACAATTGTATTTTTGAGAAATGTTTTGAAGAAGTTTTCAAAAATTTGTGTCGGAAAATTTTTTAAATAATTTTCTAGAAATTTTTGCGAATATAATTTTTTGTTTAATTCTACTGTTGTTTTTTTACTTCTTCGATTTTTTAATATTCTCAAAAAAACGTCATCTAAATTATTAAAAAAATGTCCTATTCAAATTTTTGAAAAATTTTTCAAAACCTTTACCAAAAATAAAATTCTTTTGTTCTCCGATTTTTTTTTGTTGCATAACAAAAAATTCTGAAAAGTTTTCCCGAAATTCTTGGAAAATTCGGCAAAAATATTCCGATTACAATTTTTTTTACCCGGTATATTTACTCATTCATTTATTCATTTAATTCCTCCACAAGAGGAAAGAATTTTTTGTATTTTTACCGCCAACTTGGGTATGTCGTGTATTTAAATTGATATTTCCTCGTGTGGATGTCACGTAACAGTTTTGCGAGTGTCTAAAGTAAAATTCGACTTGCACAATCCAAAAAGCGAGTTATCCAAGTTTAAAAAGCCCATCCATCAAAATATCAAACTTTCAAATTTAAAATGTATGAAATTCATTGGCTGAACTTAATGTGCACAAAGTACTGTAACTACTTAAAACTCGCTATTTCTTCGGTTTCAGTTTCTACCACCGAGATACTGAAATTTTCGGGGCGAACAAATTGTTACCAACTTGGAAATTGAATTATGGTCTGCCAACCGTGATGTTGATAGGTATTTTATCATCATTTCAGTTAACCGGGGGATAAATAAATTATCGTCACCAGAATATCTGTAATTTATGGAAATTTACATTGATTTCCTCATAAATCACGGGTGTCCTTTCGTCCCCATCCACCCCTTCCCCCCTTCCACCCCCTCCACCTCTTCCGCCCCCTCCACCTCTTCCACCTCTTCCACCCCTTTCCACCCCTTCCACCCCTTCGAGTGTCATTAATATTCCATTTGAATTTCAATAATTAATAAAATCAAATTTTCCAATAAATTCAAAATATTACTGAAAACTCCATTACATTCGTAATCGTAATTATTACTATTGACCAAATTTTCCTGATGAATTTCCACCGAATGGACCTGAATCTCTCAGACATTTGCAGGTTGACGAAAGCCTGAGAAAAATTCACTCTCTTGATATAAATATCTGTTTACCCGGAATATTCATGCACCATCTCGTTACTGGTAAATCTGATATGCCCCCGTAGCCCTTGAGATGTTTGGTTATGCATAGAGCATCGAGTAGATACCCCGAAGGTTGTTTACGTATCATACGACACAAGCAGGAGTCCATGTACATCAACATTGGATCCCATCTTAATTATCCCAGAAGGAGTTTAGGTGCTCAGGACACGGAGAAAACTGAAACAACTGATCGGGCCACCGTGAAAACACGGGATCATTCAAATTACCCGGTTATGAAGCTGGTGGATGCAATAAAGTGCTCGAGAAAGCCCGAGGGAAAAGATCGTTGTTGAAATTTTAAACGGAATAATCCCCCGATTCGGTGAATATTCGGTGAAAATTGCGTGAGAATGGAGTAAAATTGAACAGAAAATTTCTCGTGAACTCATCCTGAAATGACTGTTTAATTAATAAATTATCTGTGCAAATGAGGTTAATTAAAAAATGGTATAAGTTGAATGAAATTCTCTTGTTAAGAGAAATTTTTGTTGGCAAGTCGAAGGAATATTCGCTGAAAATTCTCCAGCAGCAATCAACGAATCCCCAGTGAAAATATTCCGCGTAACCGAAGGTGAGTGGAATAAGAGATCCAAGAAATTTTGGTCGGCGTGCAAATGAGGATTATCCTCCTCACAAAAGCCAGGCCCTCTGGGATGGTCGTAGATTTTACGTTAGTTAGGATTCCCGAGTTCTCAAGGAGAAATTCACGAATGCCAGAGCCAACGATCAAAGTTAGTCTGAATACGTCTGTGCCTCTCGTCACGTACCTGTTTACCGGTTTCAAATGTATTTGCTACCCCCGGAAACTTCGTCCCCAGGGTGCACTGATAGCATACAAGGCTTTCCTCATTCGAAGCCCCATCAATGTTGAAAGGGAACTCGTCACAAGCACACTCTGTCCCTCCATCAATCACCACGGACCATAAAACAATTATTGCTTTGAGATACTTGTACTGTCCGCCGAATGACAATTCGCCTAATTTCACCAGTAAATATGAATTTCACATTTTCTTAATTATTATTTTTCTTAATTTCCTTAACTTCTTTTTTTCAATTTACGAGACCCATACTAAATTTCTAATTAATTAAGTTTCTTATTTTGTCATTAATTTTTCACATATGTGTTCACATGTTAGTCGGTATTGATGCGATCGGAAGATTAGGCAAATTGTCATCAAGGAAAATAACATCTGACGAATTAATATTCTGGGAATTGTGATCGTTTCTTCGATCATTCGTTGCAGGAAAGAGAAGAGAATTGCCCTGACCTGTGACAATTATTGGAGAATGTACTGAAACTAGATAATGTGATGAGAGATCCACAGCCAATCCCCAGAGAGTAGAATATTTGTGATGCTGCATCACCCCAGACGTTGGCATTGAGAAGTGTTGACCAGTTTGGTGTTATGAACCACAGGGCACCATCACCAGCTCCATCGAGTGTCACACCTGCAATTTATCCAATACTTCAACAAGACTGAAATCGGTATAAAGGAATTGTTCACAGTATGGTCCTGATTATCTCATAAATTCAGAAAGAGAATGACCTAAATTTCAGGATTTACAGTCGACTCACCTCTTATAAAGAGCGCAATCAATACAAAATACGGAAATAGGGCAGTAAAATATACGATCTTTCCGACAGATTGGACGCCTCGTATAAGACACAAGTAGCAAATAATCCAGGCAAGTGTCAGACATCCCAAGAGCTCCCATCTTATTCCGCCCCAATTCTCCCAAGTCGCCCCTCGTATACCAAGTACGTAATCACTGTAGTCCGACAGATTTTACGATTAGACACTAATCACTAAAATGGGAAATTCAATGTTTCGTTTTGTTGTCTGTTACATCGATTGCTTATGAAATTAATTCATACGACAATCGTTCACTCACTTGTAATACTCCTCGGAGGATAAAACTTGTTTGTACAGAGAGCGCATTGGAAGAACCTGAGTTCCATTGTAGCAGTGAGTTGTATTGCCACCATCAGGACAATTGAGCCTCTGACATACGTCTGATATTGCCGAGCACGTCTTATTGAAGAATATCAAGCTAGAATTCTTTGACTGGCACTCCTCGTTGTCCAGAGCACTCCAGCAATCTGAAATTACATGAACAGGTCATCAAATCAGCATAATCAATGTAAATAATCAATTACATAGAAGAGGAGAAGTTTTTTAGCGTTCTACATTTTTGTGACGTCAAACAAGTCGTTGGATAGGATTTGGATTAGGTAGGAAGGGAAGCAGGATAATTCTCGATCAAATTTTTGCAAGAAAAATTACTGAAAAAAAAAAGTCCAGACCGGGATTTGAACCCGGGACCTTCCGATTATGCATCGGGTGCTTTCCCAATTGAGCTATTCGGCTCCTAGCCATTTTTTTATTTAATTTTTCTTGTATAATTAGCCACTGGTCAATTGTTTGGTTGACCATCTGGACACTGCCACCCAATCCACTCATAGATTTGCAAAACCTAATACCCAGTAATATCAATTGCCATCGGTTGAGATGCTCGCTAATTAACGTATCAAAATATCATGTTCCCGGGGTTGAATGTCAGGGGAATTGAGTTTATTTACGATGAGATGGGAGGGGTTGGAAGGTTTACACTACAGGGTGGTTGGATTTCTGCGTGGGTTATGTTCTATCAGTGGTAGGTCTAACGATGGCCATGACATCCACTGGCTATATTTACACCAAGGCCTCGGGCACGTAAGCTAACCTGCGAAAGTACCTGCCCACCAAAACCCCTCAAACGTGTTGAATGAAGAATGCGAGGATGAAAGCCCTAGTGCGTCCAGTTGCTGAACTTGCGAGGGGTGAGGGTGGGAAAGGGCCCTTTAACGACGATAAGTAGGTTTTGGAAGCGCTTCCCCAGCTCGGGCCAACAATGCGGTATAAATTACTCCAGCCCAGTCGTTTGATGCTGTACAAACGCATCCACGTACGTTACACACACGTTAATACTGGTGGACGATGACGTAATGAGTTGGCTTTGTGGTAATTCTGGCCTCTGGAGCGGTGCGCAGGCCTCTACTCACCCTTTAGCTCATAATCACCAATTACTCTCGATTGCCAAGTGATTATGATGTTGTGGGTTGAAATATTGTTTTTCGAGTGAATGTTGGGAGTGCATTCTGGGAGTAGATGATTTTTATCTTTGAGTCATCTTCTCGTTATCTTTTCTCTCTGCCCACTTCTCTTTCTATAAGTCATAATCATCAATTACTCGCGATTAATGAGTGATTATCACGTTGTGAGTGAAAATACCGTTTTTCGTGTTGAAATAATTCTGAAGATAATTGGAAAACCTCCGGCAATTCCAATAAAAAAAGATAGTCATGTACAACGCGTTAAGAAATGGTTGAATAAATAGTACGGCAGTTTAATCTACCGAATCTAGAGATCTATTCTATAGAAGCGTCTGAGGAAGCCAGAGTAGGAGGACAATACGTATAACGATGGGGTAAAGTATTCTTTTCCCTCCGGCGAATCTCGTTGTTCTCGACTCGGTCTCTCTCCATTTTCATCGATAGCTGTTGGCACCCAACGACTCTCAACCGTTGACAACACCTGTCTCAGATAGAAAGTGACGCGTTGAAAATCCTTTCTCCCCCCTATATTCCTGACTTTCCTCAAGGCAAAGTCACCAGTAAGTCCCTCACGGATATAAAGGCAAACTCCCAACCCCTCCGGGGGCTCAACGTCGATCGGTTTGGCTGAGGTATAGGTACATACCTCCACTTCATACTACCCCATCTAACCTTCGAAAACTTTGAATGCCCATGGAAAGATCCATGTCATGTGGAAACAGTTGGTAACTCACTGGGTGTATTGAAGTCGTTGTTGCAATAAGCCCAATGGAGGCGCGGTGAGAAGGATGCAAATGTGTAGAACATGGTCCATGCAACTAGAACCATGTAATACACAGTTACTAGGGCTACGACAATCATAGTGCACATGCCGATTCCACGGAAGCCAGGGCACATCCGGCCGTATGCCTCCACCGGTCCCAACCCCGAGTACTGGCCGATAGACAGCTCCAAGTAAAAAATCGGCAGGCCCATTGTGATCAGCATGAGGATAAATGGAATCAGAAAAGCACCTGAAATTAAAAAAAAAAAAATCCATTTAATAAATCCTTTCATACATTGACCTATCATTGACCTTGACAAGCCACCGATCAAGTTTCCACCGATTTTCGATGTCGATCAGAATGTTTATGACGTTAGGGAAAAAAAAAATGAACGCCAGTATGTGACAGCATGAGTTTTGCAAATTGTTGACCGAACAAAGTGATGGATTGATTTAATCAAAACGATTGAGGGGTGGTGGGTGGGGTTGGGGTTGAATTACTCCCTGGAGAAAAATGCAGTAGTGGTGCGGCCGAAGGGAAATGGGATATCCTATTTTCTCCCCTCAATATTTCGAACGTCATTCGAGAGGTACGCGGATGTCCTCAAGAGCTACCGAAAGGCAATATCCACTGTACAAGGGGTAGAACGAGTTTGAGCGGTCGACACGCCCATCCTCTCTACCATCTACTTCACTCTTCTCTCACCCATCCAACGGTTTACACATCTCAGAGAGTAACACCGGGTACAGTATACAACCAAGTACTATGTCCTCCTGACCCTCTCAAACGGTCTATAACGTATCTCTGTGTATCTGGAGTGGCTTCCCGACCGGCTTTGAACCTTCCACCCTGTCATTGGACTCCAGGGTGTCAGGGACACCGGCACTTACTTCCAATTAACTTGTGAAATGCCAGGGGCTTATTTTCAAGACTTCCCTGTCTCCTCTCCAGCAATAATAATAACACTTCTTGCATTAACAGCTCTTGTTTCCATTGGCTAGTAATTCATTCATTTCCGAAAGGAATTTTTGAAAATTTTTTCAAAACATTTTCCAAAAATAAATTTTTTTTTTGTCAAAAGAAAAATTTTTGGAAAAGTTTCCCAGAAATGTTTTGACAATTTGGGAAAAATATTCTGATTACAATTTTTTTTTTACCCGGGATATTGAATAATTTACATTAAGATTGACCACGCGTTCTAATAAATTTATTAATTGTTGTGAGTGATAATCTTCGCGGGTTAAACATTTGGAATTTCAATTAAAAATTATTTGCGGTATAACCCACAAAAAAAAAATTAAGCGATTGACTGTTTCGTTTTCGAAGAATAATTACAGAAAATTAATAAATATATAATAATTACATAATTATATTTTAACTTCATACAATGCAATAAATTAAGATTGTGATAAATTTTTACAGAGACTGTCGTCCAGTCGCACCCTTAATATTAATTATTGATTAGAATAAATAAATAATCTGGGATGCATTGAGGAAACAAAATCTCTTCATTCAATTTACGGAAATGTTTGCGCAAAAATATTTTTCCATCTCGTTCAACGAGTGCAACCCTCCGCGCTGTTTATTTATTTTTATTTTTTTTCATTCTGGATTTCAATGGAATACGTAACATCACATGTTAACGTATCATACATACCTCCGCCATTACGATACACGAGGAAGGGGAAACGCCAAACATTGCCGATCCCAACGGCATATCCGATGCAGGATAGAACAAACTCAATGGGATTCGCCCAACCTACTCTTTCCGCTGGCAACTCCACGAAAGCACCACCAACTCCCAGTGATATTTTCTTCGTCTGTGAAAACCATTGAATTTTATTTCATTATTCCTTTTTTTAATGTTAATTCGTCGCTGCGCCAGTATTTTCCGGTGAAAATAATCGAAGTCGATCGAAATCAATCGAAATTTATCGAAATCGTCAAACGGAAATGCGCAGATTTGTTAATCTATTTGTCTATTTGTTTTTATCGAATTCTTTTTATTATTTATTATTATTTCTTGCGTTTCACTGTGGCAAATTATATCGGCGCAGATTGCGTGGGGAATGGTAATTGAAAATCGGGTCGAAATAGAATAAAAAGAGAGGATTTTTTCGGATTCACGAGAGTCGCTTGAATTTTTACAGCCTCTCTCGCTGGATCAGTCGTTGAAACTGAAGTGAGTCGCATCCGAAGCCCATTATCCCGAGGATTTTATCGATTCTGTATATTCTATTTTATTTTTCAAACGCGTGGGATATAAAAAAATAATCACGCGAATTTCGTCAACTTATTCGGGTGGATGACGTGCCGAAGATGACGATACGACGATCGTTATGATTCACTCCATCATTAAAAAAGTTTTAGTCACGGAAAAAAAAATGAGATGAAAAATATTCTAGTGAGACTCTAGTTTCCATTTTTACAGCTTCCCGCTCGCGAGTTTCTCGTCAAATCCGGGAAAACCGAGTGACATCGGAAGCCCATTCTTCTCCATTTTATTTATGCTCGTCTATTTTATATATTTCTCCACCACAAAGCCTGAAAAATCCCCTAAAAACCCCTTTCACTGCCGCCATAATCCAAATCACCATTGGAATCTTGTTGATAGGATAGGACTTGAAAAAAATGCCATTACTTAATCTTCACTACTCGCTTTTTTGAAAATCAATAAATTATTATCACCTTCGCTGCTAAAAATTTTGGAATACATCCCCCGGAAAAAATAACCCCCAAAACTCCGCCCCGTCCAGTAACAAATCCAAAAACAGCCCGGGTAAAAAAAAAATTGTAATCGGAATATTTTTTCCAAATTTTCAAAAATTTTTTTTATGAAACAAAAAAAATCGGAAAATAAAACAATTTTATTTTTGGGAAAGCTTTTGAAATTTTTTTTTTATAATTCAGATGGTGTATTTTTTTGAGAATATTGAAAAATGAAAAAAAATTCTAGAAAATTATAAAAAAAATTTTTCGAAACAAATTTTTGAAAAATTTTTGTTTTGTCTCCCGATTTTTTTTGTTTCAAAAACCAATTTTCTGAAAAGTTGTCCAGAAATTTTTTGAAAATTTGGAAAAAATCTTCCGATTACAATTTTTTTATCCAGGGAGTGATGAGCACTGAGTACTGATTAAAAAAAAAATATTCTCCCCAAAAAACGGGGCAATCTCCCCGAAAATAAAACCGAGAAAAAAAGTCCTCCCCCATCGAAACGTATCCGTTCACCAGCACGTACCCTTTATCTTCCATTTTTATTTCCCCCCAGTACAAAGGCGAGGAAAATGGAGAAAAACGCGTGTAGAGTCGAAAAGTCACCGCACGATCCGAACGTTTGTCTTATCTCTCCCGGCAATTTTTCTGTTCGAAACGTCCGGCCGAGTCCGAGTTTCCGGTGGTTTTTTCCACCCACACCCCATTGAAAGCGAAAATCACAGCTGACAGTCAGACCCAGCAGTTGTACATTGCCAGCAAAACCCTCCAACCCATACATCAACACGTTGAAGCATAGAAAAGAGCCCAGAGGCCAGTGTCAATGTAGTAACCATCCATTTCAAACACATAAGTATGTGTATAGAAAGGTAACTGCGACACCCAGTGTATTTAGCAAAGCTTTGGCAGTTTGAGCGAACGATTTAATGGTTTTCGACGAGGCACAAAGCCCCCGGAGGTCTGCCCAACCCCCTTTACCTCCCCCACCCCCCTTTTACACCCCCCTCCAACACCACCCAGTTAGATTGTCCCTCACACAAACGTTAATGGATCGTGTGCGCTGATTTTCGCTTGACGAGCGAAATAAAAAGGGGTGGCTTTTATTCACTGTTACTGACAATGAAAAAGAAATAACACAAAAAGTGGCTAAACCGATTTCGGACAAATGCTGATGCCCACATTATACACATTTGATACACTCGCCTCTACTCGCGCTTTTTTTCCGTATTTTTTTTTTTGCGAAACCGAGTGGCGACTGTGAAACTACCCTCCCACCCCTGGTTAACTTTTTGTTGATTGAAAATCAGGGGAAAATGATTATCTCGATAAATCGGGGATCCAACGGCTGCTGTTTGGATACTGTGACTTTGTTGGTAATTTTTTATTTAAAAAATTGACATTGTTGTTAGAATTTCTCGACATTTCAATCGGAAAAACCATTTGAATTTCCAATTATATGAGTTTGAGTTGAATTTCAATTTTTTTTATGTTAAATAATTTATTTTTCATTAAAAGCTTGAGCAATTCCAATTGCAATTTACCACGGATGTAATTGAGAAATGGCAGTATCCTTCGAAATCCCCATAAAATCGGAAATAAAAAATCGACCCTCATCGTCAAGGATGAATGACGTCACAGCTCCGTCGACGGAATCTCCGTGAAACGTGTGTTCTGATAAATTGAATTGATCACCAGCGATGATTAACCTCACTTCATCCTCGACCCTGTCTACACAAGTGGCGCCCCCGGAAAATCTACGGAGTTGTGACGTCATTCCAAGGATTTTAACCTCCAAACAATTCGATAAAATTCCGCAACACCCGCGAATCGACTTGTTTTAAAAACAATTACACGAATTATTATCACTAATTGTCACAAAAAAAAGAAAAATCGTAATCTTGACATTACAAACCCGCGAATCTCGTCTCGTTGTCGTCGCCATCCCAGAAGCACTTGTGACTGACTCATTTTGGTTTTAACAAAACCACCGATCAATGGTCTATCTTCCCACTCTTTTTGTTTGATTTTCGGAGATTACTTTGTATCGGTATTTTATTATCGGTGATAATGATGAGAGAGCGCGATTTATATCGTGTATTTTCTTATCGGGAGAATAAATTCTGTGAGGTGTAATCTGAGGGCGTAGTCTGCTATCGACGAGATTAGTCAATGGATTGTTTTTTTGGTCTGTTAGTCGTTTATTTGAATTTTTTTTTTTTAATTTCTATTTTCGACTTCGGGCTGCAATCGTTCGTGCTCGTGGAAATTCACCGAGGGCTTTGATACTGCCGAGTGATTTTTATTATTATATTGGGTATTCCCGAGGTACTGGAGACTTCGAGAGTACTTGACATGGTTTTAGTTATTCAGCTTTTGTTTTGAATGTATTTGAATTGATGGTGAGACATTAATATAGGGCTAGAGCCCCACCTGATCCATTGACCCTTTCCGCGCCAATTCATAAAATTATTTTAAATTTGAATTCTTCATCGTTTCCCGCTAATAATTATCGTTTATTCCCATCATCCGGTTTAAATATTTATCTGATCAAATCCTGATTTCAACCTGACCGAAATTACTCGGGTATACGCCCAAGTCATTTTTCTTTCATGTATTTTTAATATTTAAAGGCGCAACCCGTAAAAATAAATTGCATTAATATTAACAATTGGAATTTGGTGGAATGCCGGGCGCGGAAATTCATTAAATCAACGGTGAAAATCCAGTAAGACGTTTTTTAAGAATTTATTTAGCCTCTCAAGGTATTCCGGATAAATTCCACAGTGAAAATTATGAGACGGCGAGGGACTCCGGCAGTTGTAATTTGCACTGTACAAACCCCCCCTTCTACCCCCTATCCTTGTGCATATATTTATTTACCCTGCTCCACTTTGAAATTTTCGTCTGCCTCGTTTTATCCACGGTTTTTTCGCATTTATTGTTGAAATTGCTGGGGATAAATCAATACGCCGTTATGAAAGAAAGTAGAATAAACGGAAAAGTTTCGGCCATTGTCGGTCATTGATTCACCATGAATTTTTATTAAATGAATTTTCCGGTGATCGGGGAAAAGGGATGTACTCAATTATCCATCGATACATCGGTCGGGGCAAAAAGTTTATAACTCCATTTTTTTTTGTGGAAATTATTGGAATTATCGAGCTCGAAATCGAAAATAGTTGTTAATCAATAAAAAAATTTAGTTTGAGGATCAAAAAGTAATAAATTCAGCAATTTTGGGAAATTTAATTGGAATCATTTGAAAGGGGTTGAAATTGAGTAGCCAATCGTCAATTACTGTACATAGATCCCGGATAATTGCAATAGGCTCGGGATAAATAGCACATCGATTACTCTAGGGCGAAAGCAAAACGAAGGGATTACTCTCTTCTTCTCATACCACTCGGTAAATCTTGTTCGAAATCTCTGAGCAGAATACCGGGATTCTGGCAGCATTCCAAAGAGTTTACCCCTCAACAATGCTATTATGCAACATTGAATTGTACTCGAGAAAAGCACCGACCGAATTAACCATCTCTCTCTCACCCGTTATCTGTGAGGACTTTGGGTACATTCAAGGCGAGTACTGAGATTATTCAGGATTCCCCTGGTTAAGTGTAAATTTTGGTAAACAAATGATGAACTTGAGGGACTTGATAAGACATTTTCACGGGTGACATCAGATCGAGATTACAAAATTCGGTCGATATTTATCGATATTTTTAATAGTTTAATCAACAATTCTGCAGCCAATCGGTGAATTTTTTTTTTGAAAACAGTTTTCAGCGGATATCTCGGAATTGAACGGACATAGCGAAGTTTTGGAGTGAACATTTTTTATGGGAAAATGTGAGAGCTACAAAAATGGTATCTATGAAAATATCAGTATCTCCCTTCAATTTCAAGGAATCGGGTAAAAACTGGCCTCGAAAAAATTCACTTATCCCAGTTTATCACTTTCGCAACAGAATTTTTAGTCTGTCATTTCATTATCATTTCTGATATTCTTTTTCGAGTATATCATAAAAATTTATGACAAGTCTCTCGGATAATTCAGTATAAAATTCTTTTCGTCATTGTAACAACGCCGGAGTCTCTAATCTGTAATTCATTCTCAATTCACAATTAATTGATTATTCCTGACAATTAAATGTACAGAATACACAAAAGAAAAACATAACTAATTAATTAGCAGCTATTCATTATTAATTAATTGTTTAGGGGGGTAATGCGACAATTTATGGAGTGCTCTCCACAAATTTCCATTTTTTTCTCTTGAATGAGTAAATGACCCCGTGATTTTTCCGGGTAATTAGAATTTCCACCGCGCCCCGTCGTGAGTAATTACCATGACCTTCTCTGAATCCCCATTACACCCCTTCCCCCTCCCACCCTGGATGTCGTATGAATATTTACACGTATTTACCGGTAATTGACAAGTTTTCACTTTCCCGAAAAATATGACGCCCTCGGGGCATCGATCCATCATAAAAATATTTTCCCATCAAAAACCCATAATTAAGTTATCACCTAATCAATATGTTATCTCTCCTCTAATCAATTAATTGATAATTAATTTAGTAAACGCGAGAATTCAGTGATAAAATCGAAAATTTCTCTTGGATATCTATAAAATTTTCCTCAGGCTAGAACATCAATGAAAAAATTATTCAATAATTAATCAGCCAACGATAAATTTATTTTTAATTGTTATAAAAAATTCTGGGAAATACCGACTGTCGAGGAAGAACCGGTGAATTTCCATCGGTTGGTAAATAATCCGCGTCGGATAATTCGAAATTTGCGAAACAAGAGTGAATGAGTGCCTGTTTTTTTATTTTTGCAAGGCCAATTGCCGGCAACAGCCGGTGGAAATTGTGTTCAGATCTACATATACATATATATATCGACATACGCCGTTACATACATATGCAATCAAATTCGATACTAAACCGCGCATTGCACGCCCAGTAAATTCACTGTAGTTTAGAGCATCTGTGTTCAAGTCTAATTATAACTCTCGGATTCAATTTCACTCAAGTTTTTTCCCCTGAATCCCATCGAATGCGTTTCACAACAGTCCAGAGCTGAAGATTGTACTAATCCCCACGAATTATCAAATATTTTCCGGAGAATTTCTATTCGGGTACGTGCCACCGATAATCTATCACGTCTCCCCTAAATCGCTGATTATCAATCAATAATATCATCCTAATATTAATAATAATGCATGTGAAAATGGTATTTCAATTAGTGACAGCAATGGGGATTTTATTTTAAAATAATATTAATGTGTTAATGTGAAGGAGACGATAAATACCTTGAAGTGTCATTTACTGCTGACGCCGTTGGTCTTATCTCCATTTTTTATCTGAATAATTCGTAATCAGGGCAATCACCGAGTCCATTGTCAAGAGTTTCAGTTATTGCACTGATAACACATGTGCATTATCCATTAACTGATCGTCGCACTTGATAATTCCCCTCGTCAAATAATCTACGTCAAATTGAATTTCCTCTGAATTTTTTCATTAAATCGTTCGATTCTTCTAATAATTATAAATTAAATAATTACCTTGACAACATCTATTTTCAATTTATCAATTATAATCATATAAATTAATTTATTGAAATGTGAAATAATTGTGTTATAATATTTGACGACGAATAACACCTAGATTTTTATTGATGACAGTCGATGATAAAAATGATGATGATGTTGATGATTCAACTGGTTCTGATTGTTGCGGTGCTTGGATGGAGTCAGTCCTCCATAATAATTGAAAAAACGGATTCTTGCGAATCTCTTCTCCCGGTGGAGTTAATAAACGAGATCGATAATTACCAGGCAGTAGTAAACCGAATTATTGATGCGGTGGTGAATGGCAGTTTCAAAGGAAGAACCTGGAGGGAGTTGGCAGGGTTCGTTGATGATTTTGGACCGAGATTCACAGGGACGGAAACACTAGAGCGCTCGATAGATTATGTCATAGATAGATCAAAGACACTGGGACTGGAAAATGTTCATGGCGAGGTAGCACCAGTCCCTCGTTGGATCAGGTAATATACTACTTTACATTATATAAAAAATATATACTGAAAATATTTTTAAATGTGCCCTACAATTATTTAAAAAATCATCACTTAAAAAAAGATTGTTATGTATAATTCAAGTAGTTATAAATTTTGGATAAGCAACAGAAATGAATAAAAAATTAGAGAAAGAGATTGGAATTATCAAAAAAATTATTAACTACGAAGTTCCGTTGACGATCTTGTCTCGGATAAATTTGACTGGTTATTTTCTAATAACAAGATATGTTTGTTCTAAACTGGAAAACATGCGATTGAAAAAAAAAAACGGAAATGACAACCAGAGGAAAAGAGTCAGCGACCCTGGTTTCACCTCGTAAAAAGGACCTGAGAATGTTGGGATTAGGTTACAGCGTAGGAACTCCGAATGAGGGCATAACGGCGGATGCTATTATCGTTGAAAGTTTCGCTGAGCTGAAAAGACGAGCTGACGAGGTGAACTCTAACTTCTACCTCCCACCCCACGAAAAACTTATTTCATTCTTCTCCCAGGGTGTCACCGAGTCGGTGAAAAATGACTCCATTTTCTTTCCAATACAGGTGGCAGGTAAAATAGTTGTCTACAATCAGGACTTCGTATCCTACGGTGAAACAGTGATATATCGATCGTCAGGTGCCAGTGAAGCCGCAAAATACGGAGCTCTTGCTGTTCTCATCAGATCAATTACCCCATTATCCATTTACTCACCGCACACTGGGATGATGAGCTACGAGGACAATGTAAGGAAAATTCCCGCAGCATGTATCACCATTGAAGATGCTCAGATGTTGGGAAGACTGGCTGCCAGGGGTGAAACAGATACCAACAAAATAATCAAATAAAATTGATTAAAATAAAGCAATTAGATGATAACTACTTTATAATTCCAGGAAAGCGATTGACCATTCGACTGATGATGGAAGCTCATCAATTGGCTGACACTGAATCCAGAAATGTCATTGCTGAGTTGAAAGGCAGTACAAAAATTAACAAAACGGTTGTAGTATCCGGTCATATCGACAGCTGGGACGTGGGACAGGGTGCAATGGACGACGGTGCTGGTGCGTTTGTCTCCTGGAATTCATTGGTACTCCTAAAAGCCCTAAATCTCCGTCCTAAGAGAACCATAAGGTAATCCAAGATTCATAAGATCTGGGTGTAGCGCATTCTGGTGGTAACTGAGGTGCGTCAGTACCTAGGGAAGTCCATACATAATTCATAAACTTGGTAAAGGTGGTGTGTCGTTAAAATGCTTTAGGGCCATCATGTGGACGGCTGAGGAAATGGGAATTGTCGGTGCGGATTACTACATCAAGCAGCACAAACACGAAGAGGGGGATCTTCAGTTTGTCATGGAGTCGGACTACGGTACATTCACACCACTTGGGCTCGAGGCTAATGGTCGACCGGAAGTTATATGCATCCTTCGAAGGATTATGAAGTCATGATTTTATTTATCATTTATCCATTTTATTTGGAATGCAGAATTTTTCCAATATTCTGGTTTTATGGTTTTTGCTTAGGATATTGTCGGTTATGGCGCCGTTGGAGGTGACAACACCGGGTACGGGACCAGATATCGGGGGGTGGATAAACGCTGGAGTGCCGGGTGCATCCCTCTTGAACAAAAATGAGAGATACTTCTGGTTTCATCACAGCGATGGTGATGCCATGACTGTTGAAGATTCAGGAACCCTAGATATGATCACAGCTCTTTTTGCTGCGACGTCTTACATTTTGGCGGATATCAGTATCGATTTGCCGAGACAGGCTCCAGGAAATTGATCGTCCATTTTATATTCCTGTATCATTTTTTGTACTGCTGCTGATAAGCATTCGTGGGGAAGGCGAGAGTGGAGTGGGGGGAATAAAAAATATTGATAATTGATCAACTGATGATAACTCTTTATCTAAAACGTGTTCTTACATAATTACCTTTACACAATCACGTCGTACAAATGTTTAGGCCTCTGTCGGTCCCGAATTCGCATACTACCAACTATTAGTGAAACATTATCGTATAAATACTCATCGTGTTTAAACTCTCCGGATGTAAAATTCAGTGATACAATTCGATGATTTGTCCGCCAAACAGCCACAGCGATTCGTTAGATCAGTGTGTCCTCGTCCTGGGTTTGAAATACCATGATTAGTGAGTGTTGCGATGCCGTTCTCTGGCTTGAGTTCAAAAGTGTTGTTTTCTCTCCACCGCTGCCATTGAAAGAGCAATCCGGTGAGCTGCCATCGAAACCAATGTAATTAGTTGCTGTACTACTTGTCGATGGTATGTCATTGAGATCGGGTGATGCAAGTGGTGGGGCTGGTGATTTGTTACCCTCGAGGGACACCAGTTGCATGCTGTACGACTCACGATAGCCAGATGTACTGGAGGTGTCATCCTCCCAGGATATATCCGACTGTGGATGAAGATAATGATGGGCTGTCTGCTGATGATGGTGGAGATACTGGTGGTCCACGGGACTTAGACTGGAGCCGTGATCATCGCCGAGACGAACCGAGAAACTGCGACGGGAGCGAAATGATGACGAGTCCGAAGGAAGACTGAAGGTGGTGGACTCGACAGCTGATTGCGGTGGTGTCTGGGAGATTCCTGGGATGGGGGACGACGAGCCCTCCTGAACCCTTGGCTCCAGCTTCAGATGTGGTACCTTATTCAACAGTTATGATCATCAAATGATCAATTCGGATTGATGAATATCAGTCATTACCTCAATATGACTCCTTCGACTTTTTCGCAAACGAAATGTCCTCTTGCTTTGGCCCATCGAACGCTGCAAACGAGGCCTGTCTAATCGGGACTCGCCTGAGCTGTCCTCGATTGGACTGCTGGGGCTCAGCTGGCTCGTCACAGTTTCTCCTAATGATCATCCACCAGTTATTCTCCACGTGCGCACACTTCATCAAGTTAATTCATCACCCTCAACTAATTAACTTAATTACATGCAGTCGAGTTATTTGAGGAATAATTTAGTGACTGATAATTAATTCAAGCATTCTTGGCACGTTGGAATCTTTAATCTTTTCAAAAGGAAAAGTTTCATCTACTCCTTCGCATGCGCACCATCATCCAACAATTGATTAAACAACATCAATTCGCTATTCATGCCCTATTTCAATTGCTCTCAACGCATGCCAATATTTCACTCATTATCTCATCCTTTCTATTGACAAATTTACCTGAAATGTGCCTACACTCTACGGACGGTACAAAGCGCAGTTTAGGCGTCTTTTGTTGTTTTAAGTTAACATGATGTTTAACATGATTACGTTCATCGCTAGCAGTAGAAGATGATTGGGATCTATCTGAAACATGCCACATCGAACGTCTAGTACATGACGATGATGTTTACGATCATCGCTGATAATTTCTGTCATCGAGTGATAACGAATTCCCTCGGATAATTATCCCACCGCTGCGCGAGTTAACGACGATGATCGTTAGGATGATAACAATGTCAATACAAATGTCACGGGGTTGAGGGGGGGGGAGGGGTAGGGTGGGTATGAAAGAGCGACGAGAAAATTGCAGTGTACAGTTAAGAGCATTTAACAATGAGCGTAGAAAAGGGCACAAAAAAAAAAGAGAGAAATATTCTTCTCCTCCGTACTTGACTTTTTCTTTTTGTCAGGCGAGAAATAGCGCAGCGTTGAAAGCTCAGAGAAAGAGGCTTTCGAAAGCAAGTTATTAACAGTGCAAAGTGTCTACCCAACGATTTAAAGAGATGGACTGATAAGGGGTCGGGGAGGGGGTGAGGATTACCAACTGTTGGACATTACCATTGTCTAAATACTGCTATTACGATTTAAGTCTTGTGGATAAAATTAATGTGAAGTACAAGAGAGTCACAGGTTATATTAATTGGATATGTAATTGAGGATGGTATAGATCAGGTGATAGATTAATGAGGTATTGATTGCAAATGCAGGTTGAGAAATGCCGATTAATCGTTGAAATAATTTGAAGCGAGAAGCATTTGCTCCAGAAGTGGTAGACGACCTAGGCTGGTCGTCACAACTGCAGGGTGAATAGAGTGAGTAGTCGATTTAAGCGGTTAATTACGATTTTGAAAAGAATTTGCTGGGTTACCAATTTTACTTCATATTACGAGATTGTGAATGATAAACGATAAATACGATTATTGGTGAATAAGCGTAAGATAGACACACGCATAAGGATTTACACGAAATAAATCGTGAAAGATAACAGATTTATAATGATTGTTTAGTAATAAAATGAAAATTGTAAAAACGTAATAGTGGCATTTCCAGACTCGGCTTACCTCCGTTCCCTAGCTAGCATTGGAAGCAACGTAATGATCAGTGTGTCAATCGTACGACACGAAGAGATGCCGACGCATTAGCATCATTAATATTTTACTCGGATATTCACACGTTGAATGTTATCGAACTGGCACATGCGTCGTTCAATCTCTTCGTCACGAGTAACTCGAGTAAGGGGGACCCCTTTTTATTATTTTTTTCTTCTCAAAAAAATGATAACGAGCAAAGCGCCAATTATGGGGCGTTATTACACCCAGATAAGCAGCGGTAAAACGATAAACGAATGGTACAATGAACTATCCAACATTCAATCAACATTTCAATCTCCTCGAATTGATTTTTTTCATTATTCGATGATATTTGGTTATAGACAATGGCTCGATCCAACTGTGGTAGATGACAGCGTACGGCAGATCGTGCCAGTTTTACATCGCGAATATCGATCTTACCACGCAGTAATAATTATTGCATCAATTTGTTAGTCTTGATTATGCGACAGCCCCATATACACGAAAAACGAGAGACAGAGAAGTCACTGGAATCTGTACAATTGATTCGTCAATAATTCTATACGATCAATTCGCAACTTGGTGATTGGATTAATCTTTTCTGTCTCTCACTCTCGTATCATGAAAATAATCCTTGCACGCATGTTCAACTTGCGTATTAAACGCTAATTATGTAACCAACACACATAACTCGATAAATACGATAACGACTTGAAGAAAGTATTTTCTCCACGGTTCAATTATAATTAAATAAATAACAATGTAATTGTGCAGTCAAACTATTATACCTGGTACAGCGGGATGATCAGTCTGATTGTCTCCAGCTGATTCGGTGCCTTCTTTGATAGTGGAGGAGCCGCAACTGGCGCTTGACAACGAGCCTAAGACAAATCAATGGTAAATGAGAGAATTGAGAGTTAGATTCTGATATTTTGGGACTATAATTGGAGATGTACCTCTAGGAGCAGGAGCGCCGCCACCAGTAGAGCTGTGACTCTGGGCTGATGATTTGGTGGTGCTGCTGGAGTTGATGGAGTGATGAACAGATTGGGGTAGTGACTGAAGCGTTGTGGAATGTGATCCCGGGGTCTCGGCGGGAGTTCTGTTGATGTGCACCCTGGACCCGATATCACCCGTCAGAAGATCAATGAGGAGTGACGGCCTCTGCGTTCTCGGCTGTCCGTCATTGGCATTCGGTGCATTGGGATGCATATCAACGACACTTCTCTTCGGCTCTGGCTGCATCTCGTCAAACTTGCGATCCTCTATTTCCTCCTTCAAGTCCCTCAACTCGTGAAGCAAATCACCGAGCAGTGTACCACGTGATTTTGGAAATGCCACCGTCTCACCATTGATTTTTGATCTTATAGAGCTCTGCATGTTTCTCTCGTGCTCGGATATCGGTGGCTGGCCTATTTTGTGAACAATGAATGGTAGCATTTGGATGTAGAGGGCCGTTCTGTGGGTGACAACGAACTCGAGAAAATTCCAGAGATGAATTGACGCTTCATTTCTCCTGTTCAGCTGTCGCATCGTCCTCAAGATCTTGGTCCACTCTGTCCTCATCTCCGTCTCGAAGCAGATGGTCATGATCTTGAGGGCGAGAAATGCCACTCGATAGAGCGACAACGACAGCTTTGTGGATATCTTTGGATCTCGAGCTGTAAATGTGAGACTTCCAGCGCGAAGATCGGCTGTTGCTTTCAAATTCTGAGCTGTGAGTGGTGCTATTTTTGTGCTTGTGGGCCAGAGAGTGTTGAGAACAGCGACAAGTGCGAATTTAAGGTCGGACTGTTTCAATTTTGGCACGTCTTTTCGTCCAGTTCCCACCCGAAGGAAGAGAGGTATGAGAAGATTTAAAAGCATGTTCTCGGTTCTGATTTGCGATGCGAACATGGAATTACCACCACAGACATTCTCAAGGGTGTAGCCCTCACCGAGGGAGATGACGTGAAGAGCAATCAGTCGAAGAACAGTCGAGCAGAACTGCTGGGGAGGAATCTTACTCATGAGTGCTGCAGTGGCTGCTGACGTCACTTCGACCTGTCCCATATCACCGACGATGAGGGCCTGACAGGTCGACAGAAGAGTCTTGAGATACTGAAAGTGAGCGATGTACGGGCACTTGGACAGGGTTTCGTAAACACCTTTTAATAGATCGCTGGCTGCCTCCCAGTCTGTGTTCCTTCTTACCGAGGCTTTTTTGTAGATCTTACTGAAGGTTTTATCTAGCCTCCTCAAGATAATCGTGAGAGCTGGCCTCATGTCATCGTTAGACCACTCCGTCGACGGCAGGAGATCATTCATGTACCTGCGCAGACCCCGACAGCCCATTGTGTCCGGATCGTACGGTGAGATCTTCAGAAGACTGTGTGCAATGTCCGCTAGTCTGACGTGACACTTGGAGTCCAACAGCTCAATTGTCTTGCCATCCTGGGACTTCTTGTTGAGCTCCACTAGACGAACTGAACATCGCGCCACGAATTCCCCTACCATATTCAATAAAGTGTCCCTTGGTCTTCGAAATTCATTCTTATGGGACGTCTCGGAGTCCTCGTTGTCCCTGTCGTAGAGATTTCTCGCTTTTGTGTGCTCCAAATACTTGGTGGTGTGCGTCTCCTCCTCGAAGTCAAATCCAGGGGAGTACGGGCCCTTGCCGTAGTTCCTTTGGCTTGAGCCCTTGTGCTCGGGACTTGATTTCTGGGGGCCGTTGTAGTACTTGGTGAGGGTCTCGGAATTGTTAACGAGTGTACGTACAGCTATTGCCAGCTGATTTATTATCTCCTTCTCAGTTTTATCACCACGATTGTACGTTGGCAACTGAATTTGCTTGACATAGCACGGAAGTATTGCCTCAAGAATGATGAGCATCTGCTGGCCCCTCATTGAATCAGCTGCATACGCTATCACCATCACACACAGGGCTATGCAATCCAGTACATTAACCATCTCGTCTTCGTCGTTGTAACAAAAATCAATGGCTTTCAGTGGTTTCTCCTCTTTCACGAGTTCACCAATGTTGAGGGGATCCGGTGATGGAGTTTCTAAACTCAATAACAAGTTGAAGAGACACGTCGAGGGTACCTGCGTAAAAGTTTGATGTTTGATTGGCTTTGAAATTATTTAAGATGGAATTCAATTGGATTTTGGATGAGGTGAATGGGAGGATAAGTGGGTTAAGATGTTTGAGGCTGAAAGTTTCGCTGGTGCGTTTTCTGTTTAAAGTGAAAGAATAAATGAAATATTGGGAATTAAGGTACCTTGTGGGCCTCTCCGTGAGTACTAGTCTCATCAGTATCCAAAATAGTCGAAACACTTCCAAACATCTGGAGAATAAATGGCTTACGATTCATCATGTAAAACTGCTTAACAGCATACTCTACAGTCGTAGTAACAAGTTTATTCGTTTGATGGGTTGCGTACAGTTGCAATAGCGATGGCATTATCAGTAAATAACCGTTCGTTGAAAATATGTTTTTGAAATTGTGCGCTGCGTTAATGTACGTCGCTACGACGTAACGAAGGATACAGGAGTCTTCGCTGTGTAGCACGAGGGCGCCATTCAAGACATTAAGAAATAGATGTATGTCACCGGAGTAGGCAAAATTACCGGCCATTGCCTCGAACATTCGAGCGATTAGACGTACCCACATGAATTTGTGCATTACATCCAATCCCAGTAATTCCTGGATGAAGAGTCCAATAATTTCTCAAAGATTCAATAAGAACAGGGTGTAAAGTTTGAGTGATAAATTGCCAGTGAAAAACTTACCCTTCCAATTTCACCACCCTTGTATAAATCAAGATCTGCCTCGAGTGCTTTTCTTGGAAATGATGGTAACTTCATAAGTTCCTCGTGCAAAAATACGACTCTCTGAACTACCATATCGACATTTTTTAAAATAGCCCACGTAAGCAATGTTTTTCCAATTTCAACGAATTTGTGAACTAACTCCTGCCTCTGTAGGGCATTGAAGGCATCTTCTGGTTTCATATGGACAAGCTCGAGTTGTGGATACTGTGATCTCTTGAAAAAATAGTAATCACGTACGTAGGACGAAGGATTATGAATTTGATCTGCGAACAATTCGAAAAATTCGAATACATTATCGTCGAGATGAAAAAAAAATCCTGAAATTCCGGTGTATTATATTTCGAGGAGCTCCGGGGGGCGGCAACTCCACCATTAGCTCAGAAATATCATGTGCAACCCAGCACGACTTCCCTCTTCAACTTCTGGATGTGCAATTCAAAAACTTTTCTTTCTCTAAACATCCTGTCGTATCCCCACAAGTGCTATTGAAACTACTCACGAGTTTTTCCCTCAGAACCCCCGGAATGTTTTCTCTTTTAACGTTATCCATTGGATTTAACGATTGAAATAATTTAATTATTTAATTATATTCTACTTCAATAAGAGCTGGATAACTCACGTGTTTTATAATCAACAAGAAAGTACTCCTTATGCTTCTGCTCCTCGATCCCGAAGAAGTCCAGGCTCTCCCTGAGAATCTGACAGAACTGCGTGTCCTCCTGCACGGGAAATTGAGAGGGTATGCCACCGGCATCAGGATCCTGAGGCCCATGAACAATAATCTTCTTCGCCGACGGTACATTAGCCGTCAACAATATGGACGCATCGCACTGCTCCTTCCTGAGTATCTGCTTCAAATCCTTGAACATAATCCCATGAACACTGTGCACAACCATCCAGAGAATGGACAACGCCGTTCCAATGAGCTTCTGCCCACCCTCGTGGGGAGATCTCACGTAGAACATAACGTAACCAATGATATAATTGTACAGAGCGAAGGCCGCTTGCTGTGGCAACTTAGGCACAAATCTGATTAGATGCCTGAGAATCTTGAACATCAGCTCCTGCTTGTCCCTGGTGAGCCTCTCGAGGACGTACCTCAGGAATAATGCGCTGTCCTCAACGAGACAGCTCCATATCACTTGATAAGCTACTTCGTAGACAGCATTGCCGTCGTCCGAGACAGCTGCATCATCGAGGAGATTGATGATCTGAACTATAGCTGAGCACAACGACGAGGGAAATAGCGACAGAGCTGATGTGCTGTGATGGGAGGTGTTTCTCGGTGCTGCCTCTCCGGCGTCATCCTCGTTGTCCTCGTGATCGTCGCCAACAGGACTCGGCTCGTAAGCGGCTTGAACTGTTATCGGTATCGTCGTTATGAGAAAGCTCTCGCGTTCGCCTCGCTGTTTATCATTCTGATCCTGAATGACCTTTTTTATCAACTCCGTCTGCTGCTTCTTCCGGGTCTTTGTTGCCGTCACAACGGCCCTGTGACGGTCATTGATCGCCACTTCCTCGACTTTAGTTTTCACCTGGGGCATCCAGGGTGGATCGACCACTGGCAACGACTCTATACCAATTTTGGGAGATGGAAGGGTGAACTCGATGCCTGGAGGTGGAACTTTGAAGGTGAGGTGTGCAGGCTCTTCCATTCGCGGCCAGACCTGATACCTGAGCTTCCAGAGAACTTGAAAACGAAGAGTTGCACTTATTCGAACGGCTGGGGACGTGTGCTGGAGGCCCTGGTGCATTATCTCGCTTGCTTGATTTGGAGCACGAACTGCGCACAGGATGAATAGGGAAGCCGCAGAGGCCGCCACCTCCTGGCTCGGCTCCAGGAGTAGCTCCCAGGCAACGGGGAGGACCTCAGCGAACAGATCGTCCGGCATTACCACTGCACCCTTCACCAGCGCCGCCAAAGGGGCGTGAAAGGCGTCCTTCACTTGGGTTTTTATGTATTTGAGGATAGGTGGAGGCTCGTGATCCGGCTCGTCGTCGTCTTCCGAGGAAAATTTTTTAAACGAATCTCGGCCACGCTCCGAGTCTTGGTCGAGGTCTTTCGAAGAGTCTCGGTTGCCACCGGTCAGACGACCGGACTGAGAACCCTCGAGGCTTTTATCGATTCTAGGAGAAAGGATTTCGCTTACTCCATTTCTCTTTTAAATTCGACTATCACATTTCTCCATCACTCATCAACTATCTGTTTTTATTCTAATTATTTAAATTCACTTACTTGAATTTTCTTCCGACGCTGTCTTTTCTTCGAACCGGTGAGACCTGTGCACTAGTTTGATCAGACACTTTGCGCCCTCTCTTATCCTTCTTTCCCTCATCTTTTTTATCCACATCGAAGTCGAAGGTGCTGGTGCCATTGACAACGCCAAATTCCTCACCATAAACCTTGCGTACAGATTTGATGAGCCTGCCACATGCCCTCATCTGCCTGCGATGACAGTACGGATGACAGAAGTTCTGATGTGAGCAGTAGAAATTGAAACCGCTGGCAGTCTGAGCTAGTACTCTCATCCAGGGAAAAGTCTTGTTGGTCTCGTCAGTGTCATTGGAATCACTTGGACTCTCCGGTGGTTGATCATCACTGAGAATACCCGGGGACTCCTCCCCACTGACCTCTCCACAGTATCCAGGCTCGGACGTATCACTGCGATCGGACAACGAGCTGACTTTTCGTTTCGATTGAATGGAATCGGCCCGTCGAACAGCATCTATCGATCGAACAACTCAATAGGAGTAAACAAAAGGAAGGTATTATTATCCCTGAGGGTACTACCGAGGAAACCATTCCAAATCCCTTGAAATTTCATCGGACAAAGTGTCAGTCAGAGTGCTAGAGTATCACATCTATCATCTAGGACTGAAATTTCAACGAATCATCTACTCCCGGTTCTACAACATCGATGAGCGTGCGTGACACAACTAAGCTGCAACTATGGCAATAGGGAGGAAAATGAAGTGCGCAAATGACAGAATGATGATGATACAACAATTCGATGATTAGTAAGAAGACGTTAAAAGATAGCACACTTAATTTTCACCACCCCCCCGTGACGACAACACTGACAAAACTTACAAGCTTCACACTCCATATCCTTCCCTTCCTTCGTACCCCGACGTAACTTCAAGCTACGTCTTTTGAACGATCCAGTATTGCCCTGTGTACCACGTCTCAACAAAAATGGCCTGCCAGTCTGTGGCTGTACCTTCTTCTTATCACGATCAAAGCCATCCTCCCCCTGTATCGTCACCGTTGATTTACTGCTACCTTCGGACTCGTTGTCAGGCTCGTGAAGTACAAAGCTGATCTTTCGTTCTGAACGAAAGTCGAGGGTGATTGAGTCAGATGTTTGATGATTGGTGATGGGATTTGCACAATTCCAATGGCCTCTCTCGTTAGACTCCCTCAACTCACCAGTCTCACGATCGCCGGCGATCGATTGTAAACTCTGAGCTGATGTCTGTGATTGACCCATCGACGACAGTGCCATGCTCCAGCGACGATTAGCCTCACGCGAGTACATCCTCTCCCAAGGGGGTGGACGATCCTTCGTAGAGAGGCGACTCGATTTTGGCAGGGTTTGGTACATTTCCCGGAGGAATGCCGTTATCTCCAGTAGAATTATGCACGCAATCATCCGGAGTGCGATTGGACAGCCAGATCCGTAAGTGTTTATGCTCGCTGAAATTGTTTTTCTTGTTTGATAGCACCCCAATACTCATTTAATCATTCAAATAGTTGAATGGCTTTACCTTCATCTAAAAAATCTTCCTCCTCGTCTTCAACCACTAGCTCCCTCTGCTTCGTCTCGTCCGACATCATGGCTATCACCTGCTCTACGTTCTGCTTATCCTCATTGAGAAATTCCTCTAGTCGTGCACCAATTGCCTGGAGAATCACAAAAGGAAAGAAACCTCATGTCAAGATTAACTGCGAGATCGAATCATCGTATGATATCGTTACCTCAGCCCACTGATAAAAAAGTTTGCCAGCAGCTCTCTGGAGGACGTGTGTTCGTCTGATGCCAGTTGGTACATTTCTACTGCTCATCGGAACCGAGGGCCTGAACACCGGAAGATTGATCTTCATCCACGTGGGCCAGTGGCCCTTATTACACTGATGGACAAGATGTGCGCACTCGAGGAGTAACGAGGCCCTTGCCACCACCGGTGCATAAGGAAGATCAAGAATAGCCGCGATCAAGTGATGATCCGGCACAGCACCGGGTTGACAGGTCTCCAGTAAAAATGAAAATCTCTGCATTCCTTCATAGACAGCTGCTCTAGGAACTAGGCGCCGTTCTTTGAGAACAACAAACTCGGATTCGCGGCACGAATCACCGAGATCCATTGAATTTCTCCTACTAAAATCTGAAAGAGACAACACTAGATGCTCCAGGAGCAGTGCATTACCTTGAGCTATTGAAAATACTCACAATTTCTAGGGATTTCTTCCATACTCTCCTTCTTACTCCTCTTAGCGAGGCCAATTTTCACGAGTTGATCCTCCATTCGTCGTTTGGCCCTCTGCAGCGTTTGCCCCACTCTGAAACAACATGAGACCATTCATTGACGAGTCATTGAATCATGAAGTGTCAAGTACTTACCCCCGCACTGGTCGAGTAACACGATAATGGCCACGACGTAGACTGGGTTGCCTGCCAAAACTCCCGTCCGTCGGGGATTCGCTGCTCTCGTGGCTATCCGTTGAATCTGTCCTACCGTACTCCTTCCTAAACCAATTAACTGGAAACGATACAACCGAAATCACCATAAATTCTCAATTAATTCCACAGAGTGATCCGGCTTGAGCGACGTATGATATTCCCTACCTATTCCCCCCATCTGAAACCTCGTCGACTTCTTTCTACCCAGACAAGCTTCCCCAATTCCTAGATTGCGTTCGCTCTGTCTGGGTGTCAGAATATGATGCTTCTTCCTCAAATTACTGAGAGGACTCTGACTAGCCTTGACAGTCTCCTCGCTTAGTTCAGTTTCAAGCAGACTCTGCAATCCAAAAGCATCAGATTGCTACACATAAAACGTAAAGACCTAGTCCTTCTGAAAAGACCGGTGTGACATTGTCCACCTAGACAATCAACATACCGCACAAGTGGAGGAAGTACTTCGCTTCTTGAATAGGAACTTCCTAGTTCCCCTGTCATCCCCGTAGCACGTCTCCCCCGTCAGCTCGACGTTGTCATCATAATCCGATTGATGAATATGCCTTATTACCCTCGTTGTCCTTATATTACTATTGCACCTTTTGTTAGGCCTGTCTGATGCGTCCAGGATACCGCTCAGGGCCACTCGCCTGAAGACACCGCCATGCATCTCCTTGACGTACGTCACAAACTGCTTGACGTCGCAGTAGACAGCGATATTCTCCTGGGATTTAAGTTCCTTGGCATTAGAGACAAATCGGGTCACCAGTGCCTTGAACACACATCCCAGAATTTTGCTCTCTATTGTTCTTGAAGTGTAGCCTACGCCTCCATAGGAGGCAGTTGCTGATGCAGCTGTCGCTGAAGCTAGTGCAGCAGCCGTTGCTGATACCTGAGGATAAAGGTGAGAATTCGGTATTGATTGATTGATTGACCTAGTTGGAAGACAAGGATATTTTAACTATCACTGCATACCGATGGTGGCGGAACTCCTAAGGGAGTTCCAGCTCCGAAATTCGTCGCATATCCAGCCTGGGTCTGCACCTCCGGGGATTTATTGGCACTTCGTTTGAGATCTGCGGAGAAGGAAGTCGAAACGATTCACAGTGAAGATTCTCTATTGAGGATATTCAAATGAGACTGGACTCGGTTACATATCATGATGATTGATATTCAATCGCGCATTAAAAATATTCTCAATGAATACAATAAAAAAAAATCATAACCTATCTACGAGGCTTAGGAAATAATGCAAGCGAATCTCAAGGTTCTCCATGTCTCAACGATATATCCTCGCCCGAGCCCAGATAACAACACCGAGCTCAAATTACTCACTAAGAGGTGATAATAACGAACTTGGATCAACGCAGAAGCCGACATAAGCATGAAAAACCTCGAGGACCTCAGATATCGGTTGCTCCCGTACCATATTCCTCAGCCACCTCGAGAATAGCCTCGAGCTGGCGCAATGGAGTTTCGTGAGAATTGTTTGAGCCTGAGATCGATAGAAATCGGCCTGAGGCCCTCGAATACCATCAGCACAACCATGGGTGCACCCCAAGTGCTTGATCACCCGGAGTACTGCATTCATCATGAGTGCATGGGCATTCCAATTGCGACCCTCGAGGTCGTTCCTTGGATCCTGCTCATTGACTGGTGAATCGTGCTTTCTGCTGGCTGTCTCTGCTTTCTCGTCGTTCGACCCTGCATTACTACCCGTATCGTCCCTCAGGCAGGACTTCAGTATACCCATCTCCATGAGCAGCTCCATCAGGTTGAGAATGCTCTCGCAGACCCTCAGGGTGCAGCATGTTGTGTCTCGCAATGAGACTGAGTGGACAGCCTGAAAAATTCAGGATTTCAGACAATCACAAGACTCAACGATCAAATTGAAGGGAGAATTAGATTTATTTTTCGTGATCACCACCTTCAGGAGCACTTGGAGATCGATATCTCCAGTTTTCGTGATGTAACATGCTGAACCCGGTGCTTCCGGTATCTCATCTCCAGTGTAGGTGATGTTGGAGTCAGTCTGGGATCTCGTCAGACTTGGTTTCCTCTCGGAACTTAATCTACTACCGTGGATGCTTATCGCGTCCAATTGACTGTCTATTGACCCCTGGGGCATGATGAAAACAGGAATAAAATGTGAGCAATCTCTTCATCTTAATTTCTTTCATCCACTGATGTCTTACCTGACGTTTCAAATAATCTGGTGAGGGAGTCGGCGTGTGCTCAGTCACAGTGATTATCGGATTTTGTGCTGTACAAGATTGACTATAAAATCTCCCCTGCTTCCTCTCGACTTTGGTATCACCCATATAGCTGAATAATCAGGAGAGCAGATTAGAAGTGACTCTAAATTATTCAGCATCACTCATGCCATTCTCTCAGTCAGGCAATAGCTAAGGCTCTACGAGACCTCTATGATCCTATAACTAATCTCGAAATCTTAAGCTCAAAGCCAATTTTTTCTTTCTATTTTCTACTTCTGGCAGAATCTCTGATCGTCATTCGATGGATATTGTGCTCTAGGGGCATCATTCGTGTTTTTTTAATCATTCTTTTTTTATTTAATTTATGGTTTTAGTCTTTGACTTGGAAGATGTGCGTATAAGAAAAGCGAAAGAGACAGTCAAGGAAGCTGGGAATCCACCCGATGATATCCACATCGATATCATCGAGTGATAAATTATAATTCAAATCATAAGATCATAGTTTCGATGTCTGATTTATTACTTACCCACCCGCGGTCAGCTCGTTAATCAAGCAGCTGAGATTTCGAGGTGAAAGGGGACGAACGAGATAGAGAAAAGAAGACACAGACAGATAGAAATTACGCACAATTCATAGGGATTAATAAATCATCACGTATGAAAAAAAAAATAATGATAAAATAGCCGAGAACCTGACTTGTTGCTTCTCTAAATGAACAATTTTATGAATTTTTTCATACGTGTTGACACAGATAAGAGCGCAGAATATAAATATTCCAATTAATCTACCCCTTCGCTCGATTGTGTAAGCCTATGCAATCTAATGACTTCGTTAATCGCAGATTTAAGAATCGATTAGATAATTATCTTTAGTACTCAAAATTAAACATTGAGCCTCATTAACTTGTTTACTGACTATAATATCACAAATAGATGACTAGAAAATTCAAGAAAGATAAAAAAAGAGTGGATGAAAGGAATTCCATACCTAAGGCTTGGCATGCTCTTTCCTTTGATGAGATTCGATGGAAAAAGCCTGCGCTCTAGTTCGCGCTCTACGAATACTCTCGATGAGGTTGACGATTGCTTTGCCAGGACATCGTCACCAGTGTCAAGACTCCTGTGACACTCCTGCATCTGGAAGTTATCAGGAAGAGATGATGATACCGGATTTTTTCAACTGAATAAAATAGAATTTTCGGTGCAGAAGGTCACCTGATCGACTAAATCCTTCGGCTCCTCCTGCCCGATCTTCTCCAACGCCTTCTCCGACTTGGACAGGAGTTTTGTCTCGACGAAGATCTTGAGATCAGCCATTTTCATTCGTTTCTTCGTCTTCTCGCTGGCCCTGCGGACGTGGCTCCCTTCGCTCTCCTGTGTTTTCGATGATGTGTAAGGAAGATCGGCTATCGTTGCTAAATCCGACATTGTCGAGGGCTCCCTGCCATCAGGAATCTCAATGAATCCCTTGACCTCCTCCTTCTTCTTGCTCTCGGGGCTCTGATAAATTGACACTTCAATTTTGGGAATGGGTAGGGAGTTGCTTCGTCTCCTCGGCATCTGCTGGATGGAGCACTCTTCGTTTATCTGTCTCAATCTCTGGTAGAGGAACTGGAGGGCCCAGTAGATGCCTTCCTCCTGCCACTGCGACACGAAGAGACATCTCATCACAGCAACATCGAGGAATGTTGCTGCACGTACGTCGGCAGCTGGACCCTGACTCCTGGAGTGAACTGGCGCTTCTGGGGATGACTCTTGGACACCTGAGGGAACACTTCGGGATTTCGAACTGTCCTGGCCTGTCTCCCTCTCTTTCTCCACTTTCTCTTCTCTCGTTTTATCTGTCAAGCTGTGGGAATTTTTACATTTTAACACTCTCTATTTTTTTCAATCATTCAGCAATTCCATTTATAATCTCACCCGAGTTTCAGGGTTTTCGCTGTCTTCGCGTCTGATTTGTTATCCCCTCCCGATGTCGTTGTTATTTGCTCAATCGTAACTGTTGATTTTGACGAGCTTGATCTGCTCATTGCAACATGAAAAATACTCGCGCCCTCCTTTAAAATAAAGCATCATTTTATCACAATAGGTTTTCCTTGAAAAAATTTTATTTTTACGGAAAAAAATATAGGGAAATTTCTTACTGAGAAAATTGTAAAAACTTCTTTAACACCGTCCATTGCCTTCTCCGATTCGGTGAGGGACGGAAGTCTGAATATCACCTGTTCCAAATTATTGCATTAACATAACGATTATTATTGCTGATGACAAATAAATTTATTCCAGTACCCACCATGTGTTCATCCTCGGTGCTGGAGCTCTCCTCTGGTATTGTCTCTGGAAAAACTGTGTCCTTGGGTGAAGAAACCCAATTGGTCTCCTCTTCGGGTTTATTGGTGACAGGAATATTCTGCTCCGAGTAACATATACTGACAGTCTGACTGGGTGGGCTGTCAGTGTCTCGGTGATCATCACTCTTCTGCTTCCTGGTGCCCACGAAGACATCACTCGGTACCTGCTTTCCCATTCTCGATGTATTCCACCAGATTGATCTCGGCTTTGGTCTGCAATGTGCGGTGAAACAAGAGCTCTCAGGATGCCTGTACTCACTCATGGGCTGCCAAATTTTAACACCATTCTCCAATCGTAAATTTGTTCTGAAGTCGATGTCCTTGAGGTGATTACTCAGCGGTGCGAAAAGGTATACAAACAGCTGGAAAATTCAGTTGAGACATCATATCTTAATCGTTTCATCGATTACAAGTGCAATTACCGTGATGGTAGGTACAGAGTAAAGATAGTTGAATGGATTGTTATGAGCTCCCATGTCTGAATCACTCTCGGCGCACTCCTCTGCAGCATCCAAAAGAAACCAGTGTAAAATGTAGAGAAGAGTCGTCTCCATCGGTCCAATATTCTGCACGTCTTTCCTGCAATCCAAGAATCATCACAGAGACCAGAAATAAAAAATCTGTAATTCCATAATTAATTGATTTCACATTTTGCTTAATTACTTTCCCCACAATCAATAATCCAACCGCAAAATAAAATAAAAATAATTTTAAAAACACCAATAATAATGAAGTAATAAATGATAAACCAGTGGATTGAGTAAGAATTAGAAAAGAAAATGTTTTTTTTTAATTTCATATTTGCGGCTGAGGGAAATGATAAAGTGCTTCTAATGCAGTCTAGTGTTTTTCAAGGATAAGGATGAGGTAAAATATTTTTCATGTGATGGACGTTGACCACCTGTTGTGCAGGAGATTGGCCGCCGAGTGGAGGACATAAGGAAGGGCTGTCTGGATCAATCGCCATCGGGGTACGTTGCTCAGAATTTCGGTTAAGGAGGGCGTCAGCTCGTTGTGAAGACTCTGGACGAGTACCTTCTCGAATGACTACATAAAAAATACTAAAATCAGTAATCAAATCCCCAACATCAAAGAACATCAATAATATTTGAGATATTCAACTCACGGTGCTCGCCTCCTTCATTTCCTGGGTTAGCATCCGAAAAATTAAACAATTAATATGGAAAAACTAATGAGCTAGTCATCAAGATCTAATCGGTCTAATTGATTGAGCTGTAAAAAAGGAACTCACGTGATGTCCAGGGGCCCGCTGACAAAACTATCCAGTGGCGGGATGAAGAGAAAAATAATGAATTAACCCACGGTACAAATGAACGACAGAAACTCCTCAACTTCCATTAACTCAAGAACAAAAAGCCACAATTATCCGATCAACTCCAGTCCCTCGATATCCGGATCCGAGTTATCGATTATTTCCCATTGTTCACACAGCATTATACCGGTTAATGCTGTGGGCCATTTGTCCATTTCACTGTCTCAATAACAATTCATGCATTTCCTTTTGAAATGTCATGAGTGAACGATACTATAATGATAATCGTCTCTGAGGGCTTACCATGCACGACGCCTCGTGGAGTTTGCCAAGCTTCGCCCTGGTGAATGGCCTGCAACAAAATCCAATTCTCTAAAAATTCACGAACAGGATTTCAATGAAAACCTGAAGAGAAAACGTGAAAATTGTGGTCGACGCAGAATCCGCAAGGTAAAATAAAAAACAATTATTCCACCAGAAAAAAACTAGAGTGAATCTGAATTATAAAAAGTGTATAAAAAAAATTGAGAACGCCTTGTTTTTTAATTAAATTTTTTTTAATTGGCGGAACCATCAGATGTCTTGCTAGTTCAATTTAAGGAGTAATCCAGTTATTGTAATTGTAATATTGTAAATAATTATCTCGAGTTGTTCAGCTATTTCTTCATTAATTTTAGAAGGTAAAATTTATTTCCGATTGCAAATAAATCCGAAGATGTTTGTTTTAGGTTACTCGCCTCATCTGACGCCAGAGGTAAAGCTGGATGGGAATGGGCAGAGCCTGCTCGAGGCCCCCATCAACGGACCGTCTCTTGTCCATCCTTCAGCCTCCAGTATCATTAACTAAAAACACTGGGAGAGAAAAAAAAATCTGTAAAAAAATCCCATGAAAACCCAGGAGCATTAGATCAATATAAATCCTGGGCTTGAGAGAAAAAAAGATAGGCCTTACCCAACCGAGCAGCAACGACTCGATGCGGGGTGATACCTCGCCTCTAGCTCCATGATATCATCCCCCAACGGACAACTACCGCTGAATGACTCCCGTGTCCTCACAACCACTCTTCAGCATTGTTTTTACACCATGTCGTTGAGCAATGACGAATTAATCATGGCATAACCACGGACTAATCACTTATCATTCCATAACTGCACACGTATTCCAATAATTATGGGAATTCAGATACTGATGATGGAATTATGGACTTGACCAGTCAGAACCCATCACTTACCCACTGGGTTATTTTTTAATCCCGTTCTCAAATCTGAATTCTGGTTGAGGTACTGGCGTATTCTCTGGTGTTGCTCGATGGCAACAGCGATATTATTTCGAGTGAGCAATTTTTCACTCGACGAATGCTGATGAGAAATCACGTGCGACACTCGGCCTAGTGGCACACTTCTTTCGGCATTTTGGGGGATGATAGAAAGCGCATGAGTCAGGTGGAGAGGTGCTGGGGGTTGATCAGAAGATACAGGAAACAACTCCAGAGGGGGATGTGGGCACAAGCACTGGTGGAGGATGAAACAGAAACTGAGAAAGTGCGATCACTCGGGGAATTGTCAAGACTATGGGGTTTTAACTTGATCGCGAAGGAGAGAATTTCGAATGCGCGCGCGACTCTCTCTCTCCTCTTTTGATGCGAAGTTTTTTTTTGATGTTTTGTTTTTTTTTTTGGGGGGGGGGGTTTTTTTTTTTTCTTTATTTATGTATATATTTTTTTTTGGAGGAGTGAGGGACGAAGGGCACCCCAATGCGCCGTCGTTCATCGATCAGGCTGTGGAGTCTGCTGGACCAACCCTCGGGTTTTGCTGGAAACATTCAACCCCGCCGCACCTTCGTCTGGGGGGGTCGTGGGTGGGTGTGCGCACGCATGAGGGTGATTCTACGGGGAGTCGCCTGGGCAGATGCCGATAAATGGAGGGGTTGGTGAGGGGCTGGGGTAATTGTCGGGGGAGCGGAACAGCTGATTTGAGAGAATGATTCGGATTTTTGTCTTTGGTTTTTCAGAGACACCATCCGTTTTTCTCACACGTTTTTTTTTATTTTAAATATTTTTTTAAAACTATCTTTCAATTTGTTGTTTAGAAAATTCATGGAAATCGCACTTTGTCACGAAAATAAAATCGTTGAACGAATCGTCACTCTTTTGCAATAAAAAAGTACTCCATTATGTTTCAGATACAACCGATGTTTATCGAGTTATGATTTTATAAACAATTGTTTATTCCGAGACACTTCCAATTTTGTATGTTGTATAATTCTTGAACAAATTAATGATTTCCGGAACTCGACGAAATCGAACAAATGCTAAAGGAATGCGGAATGTATCCAACTTCAGGCAGTCGCAATCAAGATAATCTGATCGATATTGACATGTCTGAGGATATTGGAAATTTCACGGAAGACCTGGTGCAAGCGGCGATGTCAAACGCGATGGATTTTTCCGGGCAAAATACAACGTCATCAGGTACTACCTTGAAAACAATCGAGAATAATTACAGAGGGTGTTGATTGATTTTAGTTTATCCGTTATCTAAGATCGGACGAGCGAGCCAGATCTCAAGCCCCTGTCAAATATTCTCCGGGAAGTTGCCCAATTAGCGGAGAGTCTTCAGCGAGGCATGGAGAACGTGCAGATCGGGGATTACAAAGTCTCCTTAACCAGCGTGTCACCCCTCGAGTTTCAGCTGAAGCGCGCCATCAGCAATCTCGAGGTATCGTCCACGGATAAGCCCCTCAAGATAATAATCACGGGTGAGGGTGACTTCGAGGTGAGGGAGGACACCCTCATTGCCCTGGAGAAGAACCCAGGGCCGAGCCAGATTTCCTCAGATCCCAGCATCCCGCCAATTTCAGCGTCCAGCGATCCCAGCGCCACGACGCCAGACAATTCCAACCTCAACTCCAAGAAGATGACTTTCGCTCGAAGACTCAGGCGACTCTTTCGAATCGGCTCGAAACACCCGTAGAATCCCGATATTCTTGGAAATTCCGATTTATTTATTTATTGTTTTATTTTATTTTCGAAATTCCTGAGAAAACCAGATTACCATGAATAAACAACATCACAGGGAAATTGGAATACTCGTTTTCTGTGCAGCTTGGCACCGTTGTACCACCACTCTCTTATCTCCTAAAAATACATTTTTCTTTCTGAATCGGGCTAGAGCCGGAATCGGTCTCAGCACTAATGCTATCTGAAATAGATTTACTACGTCCGGATGATTTCGGAGGAATACGATGCTGGTGCAGTTGAAAAATTATATTTCATCGCTAGCTCTAGGAGACATTTTTAGTCGGCGGCTAATTCTCATCAGATTTTCGAGGATATCTCGGAATCTAGAGGAGAGGGTGAAATGGCTCCAGGACCTTTTTTCTAGCCCTGACTTTCCTCTAGAAAAAAGGGTATTATGAAAAATCTCATAAACCCTCGAGATTCCGAGATATCGGGAGGGAACAGTGGCATCAACAAAAATTCAGTAGCCAATCGCCAAAACTTGATTGTCAACCGATTTTTTGGGAGTATCTCCGAATCTGAAGGAGATAGATAATTTCAGTGAGGACCTTTTTTGTAGGGCTCAAGGCCCTCTACAAAAAAGGTTTTAACAAAAAATTTGATATCAACCCTAATATCCGAGATATTCATTGAAAACCGATGAATTGTAAAAATCGAGATGAGAATTGACGTAAAACGAATGCATTGATGGTTTTCTGGATTTTTAATTGCCGGTCATCCGGTAATTGTTGAAGAAATGCAGAAGAAATGACTCAGAAGAGGAAGCCGACGGTGTAGATGTGGCAACCCTGACACAAAAATAAAATCAACAGCAAAACCATTTATCGTAGCGGATGGAACCAGCAGAGCGAAGGTCCTCGGTCTGTTTTTGGAATGCAGCGTTGCCGGTGGGATACAGCTAACTCAAAAGATCGGAATTGTTTTTTTT